CATAGTCTAGAGGTAACGTTCCCACCTCATGGCTCATATTACGCGGGTTCAAATACCCAGTGGAGGTTGTCGAATTTTTAAGGGCGGAAAAATTCAGGGAACAAGTCCTCCGGGAGGGACTTTAAGCCGTGGGTCCCGTGTTGTAGCTTTACGGCACGTAAAAGAACCTCATATCTCCAAAGGAGGTCACTGAGCCAAATTAACGGACGTTTCCCACCAAACAGCAGTCTCTAATACCTCTGGTAGATGGGGGAAGCATTATAGATACCTCTCAGCTAGTAGAGCCGGTCTCGCTGGCTGGGCGGGACTGATGGTAAGCACCAGTGCCGGTAGGATATAGAGACTGGTAGAAATCATAGAGGGAAGCACAGTGGACCAATACAGGTCTCAGTGCATGGGGAAACCCACCCTCTCCAATAACTAACTAACTAACACAGTAGGATTAAATATTAGCATTGAGCATAAATATATACAACAGATATTCGATAAGTAATATCCAGTAATAAATATTACTTGGATATGGATGTCCAGCAAAACAAAGAACAGTGGACAAACTGTATGTTTCCCCACTTAATCCCAAATACACTTGAGGCATTCTCCTCAGGGATAAACTACATTTTGGATTCCCACAAAGATGAAATTGAGATTTGGTGTTTGCACTCACCAGGTGGTTCTCTTCAGGTGCCACAGTATTTTGCACTAGTGGTCTGCATTGACTGTTGCCCCATGATCCAGAAATTAAGAATATAAATACTTTGCCTGTCCCATAGTGCCATCAGCACCTTCCTACATGTCCAGAGTTCCTCATCACTAGTGATAAAGTGATTGGTTCATCAATTCGCATTGACATCAAAATCATTATAGATGGAATGGGAACACATCACATCCCCCACAAAACAGAAGTTTTGCGAATCTGCTGGGAAGACGGAAACACAAAGTCAAGATTTCATGTCCACAGGAAGTGAAAGGTGGTATGTCACTGGGAAAAGCCTCAATTTTTGTGGCAGTTACATGGAGAAATAGGTTTTTCTGTTATTGCTTGTTGTTTTGAACATTTATGTCAAAGTAAAAATTATTAATGTAACATACCCTCCAGTGTTACAGACAACACTTTATACTGCTCCAAGTACTTATATAAAGTGAAAGGTGAGTGAATACACTGCAGACAACCCATCCCATTGTATTATGGTGCAATCATTTTTATTTTTCCCTGCACTTGAGCACAGCAGTCTTAACATATAAAACAACAGCCATAGGTCCATCTGTTTCTGGTTTAGATAGTACACTATGTGATTCACTCATATCTTGAGATTTTGAATTCATATTTAAGAATGCAGGCACTTGGGGTGAGATTTTATCTTAGAAGATTGTTTGGGCTTATGATTGCTAACTTCACTAAGTAGAACCCATCACAAGCTAATAGTCATTTAGCTAGTTAAGAAATTGACAACCTTTATGGAACCCAAAGGTTCATTGCCATGTTTGCAGAATCCACATTCCTGTACTGTCTTTCAGATCCATTTCAATACTTTCCTCCTAGCTATACTTGGAAATTGCAAGCATTTTTCTTCCCCTCAGGCTTGCTACAAGAATTGCATATGCAGTTCTCTCCTATGCATGCTACATGCCCTCTCCATGTAATCCTTCTTGACTCTGTTACAACCTGTAGGTTGTTAATAAATCTGATCATCTGAACTAGAACCCGTCATTTCATCACGCATACCACCCTATATGTGACAGTAACTTGGCGTTTTGTCCACAGAATATATTTATGTGTTCTGCTTCATTTTCATAATAAACACAGCATTTTCCTAAATATAATTAGATGACTTATGTTGTGGTTTACTGGATTATGCGCTGTTTATTCTGGTAGATGCCAACAATATGAAACTCACTATTGTGAGATCTTCAGATCTCACTTCCATGTCCCTTCGTTGTTTACTTGCATCTCACTCCCATATCCCAACAAACTTCTCTATAATAATGTGAAATTTGTTTGCAGGGGGTGGTGTTTTGGCCCACACTATTCTGGGCGTGGACTTCAATAAGAATACTGGTGAGCTAAAGTTCTTGATCTTGGATCCTCACTACACTGGAAGTGAAGATTTGCAAGTGATGCAAGGGAAGGGATGGTGTGGCTGGAAAGGTGTCAGTTTTTGGAGTAAGGCAGCATACTACAATTTGTGTTTACCTCAGCGGCCAAGATGCCTCTGAATATGTTTGTGTTTCAGGTATGTGCAAGTTTTGGCAGTTGGTGGTGTGGCATAAGGGGTGAAATTTTTCTCTGTGTTATTGATGTATTCTTATTCCAAGAAACACGTGGATTATGTTAAAAAATTATTTAATTTTCTTATTTTTTATTGAAGAATAGCCTGGCAAGTATTGAGAAATTCCAGCTGAAACATCTACTCCAAGTTCAGTTCTTCTCATCTTTGTAAAAATTGATGTATTCCTTGTGTTTCTCTTTCTTCCTCTGTCTCATCCTCTTCTTCCCCAAACCCACCAGGACCTCAGTGCATATTTGATGTTCAATTTCACTAATCCCAAGTAAATAGTCTTAATGTTTAATTATATCCATTAAAGTATTCTCAGGTTAGTGTACAAGTCCATAACTCCAAACAGACCTGAAATGGTGGCTTCACAGTATTTAGAAAATCATATATAATTCGTAAATCCTAGGATTAGTTTCTGTTATTTCTTTGTTACTGTACCTTAAAAGGTGCCAGACCTTTGTGAATCATTCATCAGTGGATTCAATATTGTGTTTGCAGTTACATCTTACATTATTCATGGAAAACTTGTGATAGCCATAAATATTTGGTTAGCATGATAACCTGTATCCTACTGACAGCCAATTGTGTTCCTTACCATTGAATCACTCATGGTATGTTCTCCATACACAAAGTTGACGATGAATTTCAGCCGGTTTCACGTTTCTTGCGTTCAAGAAACGGGTTACAGACCGCATTTCACATGCAGTGGGCTTCTCGATTTTCTTGAACATTGTGAACACACAGGATGATACGTCAACATGGTTCAGTTGCCTGCAAGTAGTGTCCATGTCTTCCAAAAGGAAAAACAAACTGCATGCATGCGCCCCATAGTGACTGCACTGCTGCAGCGGTAGTATTTGCAAACAGAACTTATTTTGTGGATATGCCTTGTATAACTAACCAACTCCATGGAGCTGAGCCCTTGAGAAACTGCCAGTTCCTCAGCTACTCAAGAATTTCCAATCATTTTATGGATTTGAAGCCAAATCAGTCCAGTCCATACTACCCCATCCTGTTTGTCTAAGATCTGTCCTCCCACCTATGTCTTGGTCTTCCCAGTGGTCTCTTTCCACCAAAATTTTATATGCATTCCTCTTCTCCCTCATGCATGATACATGTCCTGCCCATCTCATCCTCCTTTACTTGATTATTGTAATTATACTTTGCAAAGAGCACAAATCATGAAGCACCTCATTATGAAGTTTTCTCCAACCTCCTGTCACTTCATCCCTTCCTGCCTAAAAATGAGCAGCAGTATCTGCATAACATATGTATTAGAAATTGTTCTTTCTGCTTAAAACTCAGGGCCAGCTGTCCTTTGTATGCTCAGGGTGCATGGAGTGATATTTGTGTACAAAAGGCCAGTTTTCTCATTCCGGTAAAACCAAGGCTTGTCTGAAAAGAATGTCACATCAGGACCAAGTTCACCATTGCAAACTGATAGAAGATCACAGTTACAGACATCACATCTGGCTACTGGATCATGTAGCTACAAAGAGTGCACAGCAGTGGATTTGAAGCGCTGTAATTCTGTAGCTTCAGTAACTTCACAGTTGTTTTTACAGCCCATTTTTATACTTCCTGTTCAACGTGCATAAGAGATTCACTCCACGAATGCTCAAATATTCTGATTTCATCTGATTTTTTTTTTTTCCATCTGTTAACATACCACTCATTCTTACTTTATTTACATGGTTCAGACAGTTTTCCTTCTTGGAACTCAAATTCCAGGAAACTTTACTCTCTGTTTCCTCTGATCTTTCTGGGAAGAATTAAATTTTAAGATTCTTGTCCATGATATGTATATATTGACCGTCTTCTACTGCACACAATCTCACATGTCACTTCACTACATGTTTTGGCATCACTGTGCCATCCTCAGGTGTGTTATTTACGTTAAACTATTGCACTGCTCGCCATCATGTGTTGTTTATAAAATGATTTAAAATGTATATTCATATACTATAATAAAATTTATATATATTAAAATTTGTTAAGATTTATCATCTTATACGTCTTATTTCAAACTCGCGTATTATATCATTCTTCCACTATGGGAGTCGTTCTTCCTATATTTTGTGTATACTGTGTCTTGTGATGTGTCCTTTTTTGGCTGCGTGCGTTGTAATGCTGGATGTGCTGATTCTTATAAAATGCCTGATCTTATCCATGGCCCCACACAAACCTGCACTACTGCAGCACAAGAATCCACACATATGACTAGTGTATGATATTACTCTTTATCACCGTTGCTGACTCAGCCTGAAAATAATCACTCTGCACATAAATTCTTTCATGATACTGGAAGGCAAAATACTTGGAACTTAAAAATGAATAACTTGAGGTGTCTTCAAGGCTAAATAAAAATGGATGTATATTGGGTTTAGTCAGATTCAACATACAACATATTTCTTCTAAGGGGAACCAACCAAACGAACCAAGAAATCATACCTGCACAGCCCTCAGTAACCACATCGGAAACACGAAACATCATTTTCAGCAACACACTTAAGTTTTAAATTTATTCTCAAAGGTTGAATGACTGAATGAATGAATGAATGTATAAGGGGTGGGCTTTCTTGGCCCTTGCACTGAGACCTACAGTGATCTATTGTGCTTGCAATGAAAGGAATATATGTCAGGTCTTTCAATGAAGTGGACTGGAATAATAAAACAATGCATAAACTTTTCAGGTCGTGTATTCCATATTTTTAATATATTTAAATTCAATGGTGGAATGTTAAAATATGAATAAAAATTAATTGCTTAATATATAAAGTGTGTGCAAAATACAGAAACATGAAGTAGTTCATCCCCCTGTGGATGGATTGAAGATAGATAGCCAGTCTATTAAAAAATTATATAATTCTGATACAAGAGTAGAAAGTTAAACTTGTTCTGTACATTCATATTTTACAGATTTTATCACTTAAGTACAGCATATATCACGTCTTATGTATCTGTGGTTGCTGACAACCATCACCCTATTTCAAGTGATTAATAAGTAAATAAATGAAGAAAGAAGGCACTACATTACAAAAGCCCTTATTAATAAACACAAAGTTATAAAGCAAGCCTTACATTGTAATTCAAACTGTACAATAAATTAACACTTCAAACATAGTTCATAACAGACAATGGATGATTTTTACATTAGCTAATGAGCCATTAGGAAGGTCCAGGAAAACCAAGTAGGATGGAAATTAAATGGGATACATCAGCTGTTGGCCTATGCCAAAGATGTGAATCTACTGGGAGATAACATAGATATGATAAAGAAAAACACAGAAACTTTAATTGAAGCTTGTAAATAGGATGTCTAGAAATAAATGCAGAGAAAACTAAGTATATGTTGCTGTCTTGTCACCAGAATGCAGGAAAAAATCATGACATAAAGACAGCTAACAGATCCTATGAAAATGTGTCACAGTTCAAATATTTGGGAACAACAGTAACAGATCAAAATTCGATTCAGGAGAAAATTAAGAAGAGAATGAACTCAGGTAATGCCTGCTACCATTCAGTCCAGAACCTTTTGTCTTCACGTCTGTTGTCTAAAAATGTGAAAATTAAAATATACAAGTCTATAGTTTTTTCTGTGGGTCTATAGGGGTGTGAAACTTGGTCTCTGATGAGAATATTTGGACCAAAGAAGGGTGAAGCGAAAAGTGGTTAAAGAAAACTGCATAATGAGGAGCTTCATAACTGTACTCTTTGCCAAAAATAATTAGAATGATCAAGTCAAGGAGGATGAGATGGGCAGGGCATGTAGCATGGACAGGGGAGAAAGGGAATGCATATAGGATATTGGTGGGAAAGCCAGAAGGAAAGAGACCACTAGGGAGACTAAGACGTAGGTGAGTGGATAATATTAAAATTTATCTTAGAGAGATAGGATGGGGTGTTATGTACTGGATTGATCTGGCTCAGGATAGGGATCAGTGGAGGGCTCTTGTGAACATGGAAATGAACCTTTGGGTTCCATAAAGTGTTTGGATGTTTTTGAGTAGCTGTGCGACTGGCAACTTCTCAAGAAGGGCTCAGCTTCATGAAGTTAGTTAGATTTTAATAATTTTCTCATATCAGGTACATCAGCACCTCAAGCACAGATTCTCATACAAATTATAATAACTCTTCTGAATACACCATGATTTTGGGAAAGTTTATAATGAGGCACGAAAAAGATCATAATAGGCATATGTAAGCCTAAAATTTGCATGATAAAATGGAGCGAAACAGTTTCTTGAGCTTCAGTAATTTTGTCATAGCTACTTTTACATTTCATGGGAGTGTACAGTGTGTAAATGGATCGGTTTCATCAAGTGGAAGGCTATTTTTATCTCTCACCTTATAAGAATTGCAAAACTATGGACTATCATAAATTTGAATTCTAAATATACCTGTGTATATAAACATGTAATGTAATGGTGAGGTGGACCTCTGAAATCACATAATTTCAGGTTACTATAGCAAAAAAATGTCAAGCATTAACATGTTGCATAATCATAAGTTATCTACTAGGTCAGGAAGGAGTGAGGTCTCAGAGTATCATGTCTATTCTATGAGTATTGATAATATTCTGACATTCGTATATGAAGTGTTGTATGCTATGTATCATGTATGGACTGTTTGTGTTTATTCATGGGAGATGGTGTTAAACTTTGGACTCAGTGTATCATTTGATAACATATAGGACTTGAACAGAACACAGGAGAAAGATGAGGAAGTTAATAGTACAAAAGGTAACATGATAAAAATGATTAGACTTCCCCTTGAATTTTCAGTGGGTGTTACACAAACACTGAACTACCATTATGTGTGATACTGACTTGATGTAGCTGCCAGTATGGCTGATAATCAAGTGGGAAACTATGGGACTGACAACTGAATGAAGTGAGGAGGGACTGGTTATAAGTTGCTTTGAATTGGAGGCAAACAGTATAGCTGACAACACAATGGATGGTTGTGCTAGATGAATTTGATGTAATTAACTCTGGATGTCAGCTCTGTGACTCATGCAATGGCACTGTGTTCATACCTGGAAGAATGATCTCATAACTTAACATTCTAATGAAAAAGACTTGATCATTTGATATTATTGTATTCTGAAAGCCTCTTGGCTGAGACCATGTTCTGACACCAACTGGGACCATAAAGAAGGCCAGAGTAGTATTGCTATGCCAATAGATCAAAGCCACGGCAACAGAAGAAATGATATGGACGGAAGGACATATAATGAAGAATTAAAGAATGTTGGCAGTGAACATTGGAACAAGCAGTGAATGTGAGGCACAAGATGGGAACTGTGAAGACAGTGCTGAGACAGATGATAAGAATAATATAGAGAGTGATACTGATGAAGTTAAATAAAGTTAAATAAAGGGAAAATCCTAATAAATGTCATAACATATAATCCAATATTTATTTTCAGTCACATGTTTATTTAATTAAGAGCATGAAATGAATCCATAAAATTGCTTCTTTTATGCAGACTTGTTTCCTAGTGCAAGACTGTCTTACATTTAGAACCATCTTCCGTTTCAGTAAATTCAGTGGTACATTTTAATGCACTGTGAAAAAGCAACTGAGTTTATAAACTATGGTCTCCCAAAAAAATTATTATTGTCATCTTGTGGGAATTTTTTGAAATTGCCTCAAACTGAAAAGTCACTCTTGCATATGCCTAGTAAGATAAAACAATATTGTGCAGTAAGGGTAGACTTCAGCGGCCTCCGTGGTCTAGGGGTAACGTTCCCACCTCATGACTCAAGGTACGCGGGTTCAAACCCAGCAGAGGTCGTGGAATTTTAGGGGTGGAAAAATTCAGGGAACAAGTCCTCCGGGAGGGACTTTAAGCCGTGGGTCCCGTGTCGTAGATTTACGGCACGTAAAAGAACCTCATGTCTCTAGGAGACCTCTGAGCTAAATTTGGACAAAAAGTTTCCTGCCCAAAGTAGTTTCCAATGCCTCCGGTAGATGGGGAAGTATTAGGTACCACTGCCAGAGGAGGGGCGACCTCTCTGACAGAAAGGGACTAATTATTAGATACCACTGCCAGTAGAGGATCGGAACCTTGCTGGCAGAAAGGGGCTGATAGCGATCACCAGCACCGGTAGGGTATGGAGACAGTAGAAATTAAAGGGGGACGCACAATGGACCAATAACTGGTCTAAGTGCATGGGGAAACCCACCCCCTCAATACTGAATACTGAATACTGAAGGGTAGACTTCGGTATGCACGAAAAACAATCAGATGGAAAATACAAATTGTACACTGTTACATATTACAATAAAGGCTTATTTTTTCTCTCATCACATGAAAATATTGTGGCACATTAGCAACATATAAGCGATTACATGTACGAGTATAAAGCATTATGGTGAATAAACTATTCAGTATGAAAAAAACATTTATAAGTAAGGAAGAGAACTGACACCTCTACATACAGACCACATCTCTAAATGAGTCTTCTTCAGTGTATTACTCCCTTCTCCATAAAATTACAGTATTGTTCTTTTAATTACTTACTACACTAATTTTGTAGACTGAGAAATCTGATGTCCTTCTATATGCAGTAAGCAACTTCTGATTCAGTTAGACAGAAACAATGTAAGGACTGGATAAATGCGATACTAATGATTCAGTGTTCTACAAATATCTGTGCCCCTAGGAATGACTTGATGCACTGAACTTTCAAAGTTCCAGTCCTTTTGACATTAACCACTATTTTAACATAGGATTAAGTATCTGTAATGGAAGGGTGGGCAAACAACAGCCCATTAGGTGGAATTTTGCTTTGCTCCATTCCACTAATAAAATAAGGGTTGTTAATATGATATAATACTATGAAGTTTGCCCAACCCTGCTCTAATGACAAGATAGTGCCATTCTAAGTACCTGTTAAAAGTCAATCCCTCTCCTACATTTGAAAGACGCGGCCACAGGATAGGACATCAAAATTATCTAGCATTTATTCTCATTGTATTCTTTTCATTGTTGCTAAAGCACAAAGAAAAATAATAGCCCTTTACAACAATTTTCATAAAAATGTAATTCTAGCTTAATACAAAATGGCGTCTTCAAAAGCAAATTCCATTCAATATACAAAATGAAATAACTATGTATGTAGCAGGAGGGATTTTGTGCAGTAGTTTCACCACATCCGTTGTGTCACATTTACTGATGCTGTAGCCAGTCATAGATGGGCAACTGTTCATAAAGTTACTGAGTCTTGGATGTAATAGTCATGATCATCATGAAAGAGTGGAACATGATTTACATGAAACATTAGTAGGTGGATCTTGTTGTACTGGTGTTGGAACAATGCGATAAAGAGGTGCACTTCTTAAGAGAATTTCTGCTACATCATCACGACCTAAATCTTTCAACTTCTGGATAAGCATTCCTGCAAAGAATTATTACTATTGTAAACATCTGCAAAAGGCACACTGGATTGGTACACAATGTATGGTGAATATTTATTCTAAATAAATATGTATTAGAGCAGAAGTCTAACATATTGATTCAATCTTAATATTGTGCATCCTGTTGTGTGTCATATGAAGCATGGAATACACCGTCTACACAACAACAATCAGTATTCAAAACAAAGAAGACACTATAGGATCAACATTAGCTTTTATTGTTTTTACTATTTACATTTGAATTTAATTTCAAGACACAATAAGGATCCTTATTCGATGAATAAAATGACAATTGATTGCAACTCAACAGCTCAGACTGGTGCATTGTATGCCTGATGATGACCAGTGAAAGGGTCAAAATATGTTGCATCTCTAATAAACATAATAAAAGCAAATGTTGATGCTATAGTGTCTTCTTTGTTTTGAATATTGATTGTTGTTGTGTAAACGGTGTATTCCATACTTTATATATCTTATTTATTGATTCAGTTTGGGTTACAAATATCAGATTCCATGATTACCTTCTATTAGTCTATAATTTTCTGAATTTTATAATGGTCAAAGGGTATATTCCGCATTTAGCATATTTATTATGGCATATACACATAACTGAGAGTTTTCTTAACAATTTTTTACCTAATGAAATTTGGCACTACAGCCCCAGTGGGCCTAGGCCTACCTCCATGAACTTCTCCATTCACTTTGGTTTTTCTAGATCTTACACATTCGGTAGGACTCCTTGGGCGGGTGATCAGCTCGTCGCAAGGCCTCTACCTGTACACAAACACAGAAAAACGCACACACACAAACTAAACATCCATGCCCTGAGTGGGATTCGAACCCACGATCCCGGTTTCCAAGCGAGTGAAGACAGTACATGCCTTAGACTGCTTGGCTACCATGACTACTACTTTATTACTACCCAACACAAATTGTTGCTGCTGCCTTTGGGCTGCTAAGTTTGCACTTAAATAAATAAGATGTGAATTATTATCATTTACCGGTGCCTATTCTATTTGCTCGTGTTTATTTTATGTTTAGTTTATGGGATGTTATGTAAGCATGCAAATAAATAAGAACCAGCTGTTATTATTGTTTTGTTGTTACACACTAAAGCTTGAAAATCGTTGTAATACTTTATACTATCCGTGGTTCTTCAAGTCATAAAATTGTATTCATTTTATAAGTATGTACATTATATTTCTCTCACTTCTCAGTAATTATTTGATTTATGTTAATAAAATTGCTGCTCTTGTTATTACTAGTAAGCATGGGATGGAGTTGATGACATCCCTGGCTTTGTTATTAAGCACTCTACTGATATATTTATATCTGTTTTCAACATACTTTCAGTCTGTCTCAGTAGTATTTTCTGACCTTATGGAGCAAGTGACAAATATTCCTCTTTTAGAAATTCAACGACACCTCTGTTCCAATTAACAGTTTTTACAAATTATCTGGATTTGTTATTCATGACTGTCTTATGCATTAACAGAAGTTTAAAATAAATCTTTACTAGTATGGTTTTACTAGATGGTAGCTGCAAATGTATTTAATAAGCAATCAAGCTGGTCCTCCAGCTTGGGGGTTGGGTGTGGGGCTAATGAGTCCTCACCGTAAAACATTAGCTTGTTACAAAAATTTGCAAGAAGCCTCAGACCTGGGTGGATTACTCGGATAAATGACATAAGCGAAAGAAAATGAATATGAGATTTGGTTCTTGGAATGTTAGAAGTATGTATAGAGCAGGTTCGCTCCCGGCAATGGCGGAAGAAATTAAATTTAATTGGAGTACAGGATGTCAGATGGGTTGGAGGTGGCACTGAATCAGCAGGCAAATATACATTTTTCTATGGAAAGGGGAATGAAAATCATGAGTTAAGTACAGGTTTCTTTTTTTTTTGCACATAAGAGAATCATATCAGAAATTTATAGGGTAGAGTTCATTAGTAATAGGATGTCATACATAATATTAAGAGTTCGCTGGTGTATATCATCGTCTGAATGTTTATGCCCCAACAGAAGATAAAATTGATAATATAAAGGACAGGTTCTATGAAGAACTAAATCATGTATTTGATAACTTCCCGAAGTACCATATGAAAATTTTGCTAGGAGATTTCAATGCCAAAGTAGGTAGGGAAGGTATTTTCAAACCAACGATTGGGAAGGAGAGTTTTCACGAAATTAGTAATGATAATAGAGTCGTATTCGTGGAACTTGTGTTCAATCTTGATCACTACGTCAAGATACACAAGACATGACTGGTAAGTGGGGCCCCTTGAGACTTTTTCCATTAGCCATTCAGATGTCACTGGAACATTTTAGAGGCCGAAAGTCATAACCGTGAATTTCCATAGCCCTTGACCTGTTGAGAATGCCATCTTCTCGTTATCTTCAGGTGCAGTTCCACCTGCCAATAAGCACTCTTCAGATCCAGGGTGGAGAATCATTTGGCTCAAGTGAGCGAGTCCAGTGTGTCATTAATCTCATGCAAATGGGAACCGTCTTTGCTTGTAACATTCATCTTCCTGTAATCAAAGCAAAAATGGAGGTCCCTGTTTTTCTTCTGGATGGGAATGACAGGTGATGACCAGAGGCTGTTTGACTATTTGATAACCCCATGTCATTGCTTGTCCTCGAGCATTCTGTCCACTTCCGCCTGCTTCACTAAGTGAAGTCTCCTTGTGGATTGTCAAATCAGTCAGACCTCTCCAGTATCGATAAGGTGGTACACTCTGTCAGTCCGTTCACAGTTGCTGCTCTCCATCGCAAAAACTTCTTTGTACTAGTGATGTGTTCTTATAACTCTCAGATTTCTCCATTGCTTAAGTTTTGCCTGGCCTGACTTCTGAAGGTTACCACCAGTCTACTATGGACCATGGCCCTAACCACATAGATTCCATCGGAAGCGTGCTCCTTCGGGCTTGGTTTTATCAGGCCACCTTCTGCTTCAAGGGGGCTCTCCAGCCGGCTCCCCTCTACTCCCTCGCATTGTTCCTCACCAGCTTCTGGGTTTTCATGTTTGGTGAACATACAGAAGAAGTGCTGAGCTGATATGTTTCTGCTTGTTGACTGTTTCCCTCTATCTTCTCCTGGGCCAAAGAGCTCTGTGAATCTGGCTGGGGGAATAAGTATTCTTTCCGCACGTATTTTTGAGGTGAGCCAGTTCGGTGTGCAAGTTGGCTTCATCCAAGTTGTTGTATGCCCTGTGTATGATGGTTGAGAGGACACTCAAGTTTCTGGACTGGATGGTGATCTGAGGGTGCAATGTGGTATTGATCCATATGTGATGGATTCCTATAGACTGTGTCCAAATATTCCTTGCCACTTCTGTAAATATCTATGTCCAGGAGTTGCAAATGATCTCCTCCTTCACACTCCATCATAAACTGGATGTCACAATGGTTGAGGTTTATGTGGCAGAAAGAGATGTTCATCCCATGTAGATCATGTGGCCAGGTGTCAGAATTATTATTCATAAATCTGTAATTTAAGTAATGCCATGTTTGATGCATGCCTGGTTAGGTGACCCCTAAAAACATTAACTGTGGATGGGATTTTTATGCACTCCAAAGACAGTAAAAGGGGTATATGCACAACTTTCCTGGTCCACTGTCCCTATTGGAACAGACTGAGCAATAATCCCCACACACTTTAACCCTGAAGATGGAGGAAGCATGCACCTCTGAAATGTTGGCAACATCAATCACATACACAGTGTAACAACCCAAGAACAGAATCAACACAATTAACCAGCATGAAAGCCTAAAATCAGTAACTGTAGCTTTTGCACCTGATCTCTCTCTCTCACGCACGCATGTACACACACATTCCAACTTTATGTATGCTCCAATTCATGTTGTGTGTGTCAGTGCATCAACTTACCAATTCCCGAAGCCTTAACTTTAGCCCATTCATCTAGAAGCATAGCAGTTCTACTTCTAGAGCTGCCAGCCACATCCAGCAATGCAACTTTCTCTGCTAGGCCTAACTGTACAGCAAGCAAACACCAGTCTTTCCCCAGTGAATCAGGAGGATCCAAGAGTCTGCACAGCTGTTGCCGACATACTGTTGATAGGGTTGTCACTGGTAGTTCATCCCCACTGATTACCAGCTTGACCACCTGCATTAAAATCACAGCAACTTTGAATTTATGAGAGCTGACGTTCTTAAAGTGGTGACTATGAAGAATATTGCCTTCTGGAATGTGGCGCCATTTAATCTGCTAGAAGTTTACTGAGATTTTGGGGGGAACATGCTACCTCAGCCTTCATAGTAGAAGAGTTAATGGAGTATGGATAAAAGTGTTACAGATATAGGCCACAACAGGACCACTGAGTGAAGCAGCGCGAGTAAGAACAGTACTAAATAAATAGAGGTTGTTATTGAAAGAGTGTAGCAGTTAAAGAAATAATAGTGTTGAGTGACCTGTCAGAGGTATGAGGATGCCATGGCACTAAGGGGCTAGTTTCATGGCAAAGTGGATGAGATGAAAGAGAAGAAGTAATCGCTTACTCAATCTTGGCAACCTTCCCAACAGAGCGGACAAAATACATTGTAAAATGAGGCACCAGCCAAACAGTTAATCAAATAATACTACTTCTATACCACGGGCCTCCAAGAAGTTTACTATATGTATACAAGTTTTGAATATACTCGTACTATTATGTCCGTGGGAATATAACAACAAGATACATTTATGGCACTTGTTAACAGTATACCAATCACAGGCTAGCATATCCTTAATCACGCTTACCTCAGATGCTCCGAATCCAACTAGATCCAGCACAGATTCATAATTTCCTGTAAGAGGGTTGAACAACTTTGCATTGAGGCAGGATGGCTGCAAAATGCATTCCATAAGTTGATCAGGTGGCCAACAATGTACCAAATCACTGTGAAGACGCAGCTGCTCTGCACTCAAAATATGCTTCTCGATTGGTAAACCTGGGCTCATTTCAAGCAAAACCTGAAAATGTTGATTGTCAATAATGAAATATTTTCACTTGATGAACTGCTGAAAGTATGACAATTTGTTGTCCCATGCAGCAGAAGAATAACCAAATACCAGTAACTTCTAACAAAATTAGTTTAATGATTTTGAGTTCTACCTGATCTATAAGGCCAAGGAGTTCTTCTACAAAGTAAAAACAAGCTAATTCTGATGTGGGTGGTCCTCTGACTTTAATTTCAATGGCTTCTCTATCATCCTCTAGTGTAATCAGACCTTCAATAGGACCTGAGCATAACTTAGATCCCTCAAACCACTGGTACAGATCACTATCTGGGTCTCCAATACTTTGTACAACTCGGCGAAGTTGGACCTGTAAACATTTAATGGTTAGTAATGACAGACTGGAAATAAGGGACAGTCTTAGCTACAGTGTTTACTAGTAAGTGAGATCTACATGTCATACATTTCATAACTTGTACTCTTCTCCAAGTATAATTAGAATGATCAAGTCAAGTTGGATGAGGTGGGCATGGCATGTAGCACGAATGGGGATGAAGAGGGGTTAGTGATGGAGGAGGCGGCCTCCAGATGTGAAGGAGAGCTGTTAATATACTGAATAAGCAGTAGTGGACAGCCAACAAGAGGGGTCACTCCACCTTGGGGGATTGGGTGTGTGGCTAACTACTTACCATAAAAACGTAATTTTCTTATGACATGTTACACAGGGCCTCAGACTTGGATGAATTCTTAGGATAAATAACCTAAGCTAAAGAAAACAGACAAGAGATTTGGTACAAGGAACATAAGAAGTCAGTGTAGAGCAAAGAGTTGCAACAGAAATAGCAAAATGTAAGTGCAATTTAGGGCAGTACAGGAGGTCACGCAGGACAGGGGTGGCACTGCACCAGCATGCAATTATACATTTTTCTGGAACCAGGAATAAGATTTTTTGTACATAAAGAAAATCGTATCAGCAGTTAAGATGATAGAGTTTGTCAGTGACAGGATGTTGCACATGAATAAGAAGAGGTTGCTAGTATGATATCACTGTAATGTTCATACCTCAGCACAGGATAAAACTAATGATATTGAGAAGAGATGCTATGAATTTGATAAATTCCCTAAATACCATATGAACATTTTGTTTTGAGATCTCAATGCCAAAATAGGTACAGAAGTTATTTTGAAAACAACAATTAGAAAAGTGACTTTACATAAAATTATAATGAAAGTGGGCTTAAAGTACAAGACTTTGACACATCCAAAAATCTAATTTGTCAAGAGCACAATGTTCCCCCATCATAACATTCTTAAATTTACTTGGACATCTGATGGAGAAACACATGATCAGGCCAATCATATTTCAATACTTATAAGTCAGCTGTAGTCAATGCCTGATCTTTCAGAGGAGCACAGTATCTGGCAGTAGAAGTATTTCGGGAAAGAATGGCAATAAGTAAACAAGCAACAAAAAATTGATTATTAAAAACTCAGTGCAGGAAGCTAAATGATGTAAGGGGTATTAGAATAGCCTTGGAAAATTTTGAACACAATGTGAATATTAACAGAGCTTGCGAACTATTACAGAGAATGTCTAAATTTAAGCCAATGAGAGTGTAGGTTATCATGAATTGAAGCAGCATAAGCCATGATTTTATGAAGGATGTTCACAACTATTACATCAAAGTAAAGTGCAAATCTTCTATGGTTAGGGGATTGGAGCCAAATATATGAAAATATTATTTCATATTGTCACATGTAGTGTGGTACGTGCTACAAAAATAATGGGTTCTAGTTAGGATGATTGGATTTATTGGCACTCTAGTTACAATCTCTCTTAATCATATTTACTGCAGTGCTACTGGTGATATACACTTTAGAATTCACTGTTACACACACACTGTTCCTCTCCTGGTAATGCAATTAAAACACAGGCACTAGCGCTTCAAATCACTCCAAATATTACACATGAATGAAGTCTTCTATTCACATTTTATATCTTCATGAGTCGAACTTTTGTTGGCTGTCTCCTATCGAGAACTCAGAACTCATGTGCATTGTTTCAGACACCAGTGATATTGGTAGAAACTCACCCTTTAATGATACTTTCTAGAAGAACTAAGATACAAAATATTTCTATTACATTTTACATAAGAAAACCCAGATGGCATGTGAAGAAAATGTGCTCAACATCAAACACAGTAGTTTACCTACTTCTCAGCAGATGAAAGAAGTATTAACAATTAACTTGCATGCGATACATACAACCAATTTATGGGTTTGGGGGCCAGGTCCTTTGGTATGTATGGTCTACAAGCCTGGAGTGTTAAAGTAACAGGTGACACAGGCAATCAGTAGATTGGGTTGGGATATTAATGAAGATTCTGGTATACTTCATTCAACTGAACCAACTGGGAAACAGTTTAATACTGAAAAGTAAATGTGTGATGTGCCCAACCTGTATTCGTGGAAAAATGCTATGTATAAGATGAAAAGTGTCTCGTGGTGACTTGAGCTTCACTCCACCATAGCAGCTATCTGGATCATGGTAACGAGGATCTGAGGCATCCCAGAGTCCATCCAGTGTTTCCACAAAGTTGTAACATGGAAACTCAAATTCTAGCTCACCATCATTGTCACACTGTACTAGAAGAAAATCCAAAGCCCCACTTATAATAATGATGTATTATAAACAACGAAACTATGAAACATTAAAAGCACAAATCAGGATTTTGTTTACTGGGTAGTGGCACTACAGTCTTGTGGCTGATTATAGATATTTCAGAGAAAAAGCTGCTGCACTCAGGGTAGAGGCTGGAGGAAGCAAGTTCCTCCAAAGTGGCTGTACTGAACCACAAGACTGCATGGTGTCAAAATCCAGAAGATGGCAATCCAAATTTTCACTGCTGTAAAAACCTCAAATCCAGTACACTGATAATCAGTTCTCCATGTTATATACTGTGAAAACCACAAATAAAGTATTTCTCTGCTTTCATTTAAATGTTGTCAAATGATGAGCCATATGAAAATTGAGTCTGTTTTAGTTTATTGAGTTGAGTTTCATTACAACCATAGAAATGTGTCCACATAACACTAGGTTTTTGTGGTACACAGGTTCAATACATATGAACTGCTTACAATTCTTAAATAAGCACAATTAGTATTACTGTCACTACTGATGCTACCACTATGACACCATTACTTTTTCAATTCTCAGTCCATTCTCATGTTTTACATTTTCACTTCTAGCTAACCTTGGGGGGAAGGGGAGGGTTGTCCCCCCCACCTCAACTTTGGTCTCCAACTTATATTTAATTGTAAATAAATACTTCCCAGTGGTCTTCAACTTAGTAACATGTTTGCTGCTAATTATTTTCCTGTATGCTATGTCCTCATTTATATGCAACCATTTACTGCATACAGATTCTTCTGTCCACTTTTTCGTTGTTTCACAGCATTTCAACAGCATGTGCTTAGCGTCCTCCTCTGCCAATCACACCTTCCTCTAGCGGATCCCCTCCTAATCCCTCTTAGTTTCCAAATTCCTGCTTTCAGCCACATTATTCCAAAACTCTCATTTGTTGTGCATTCATCAGCATGGCTCTTTTACCTCACTCCTGCTGCTACACGCAGCACAATGGTTGATATGTTCTTTTTTGTTTTATATTATGAATGCCTTGACTGGTTCCTGTGGGAATGGACTGTTTGTTTTTTGATCTGTGACTCATTCTATATCCAATGGTTGTTTCCCAGCCTGTATCTGGATCTATTTTTGAATTTGAAATAAATTGAATTGAATGGAAAGAAACCATCACACCAGACCCATGGCATATGTGCAAGAAGAAGTAACCACTATAGAAAATAACCTACAAATGATTTTATGAACATTTTACATTACTTGTAAAATGCCAAATACAGCAGCGTAACAACAGAGCAGCAGTTTTCAACTACACTCTTATATGCCTAATGATAGCCATTTAGGCCAAAATATGTAGTGTTAAATGAATAATAAGAGACCAAAAGCCTCAAAGTGTGAATTAAGTATATGGATGGAGTTACACAGACGGTGAAGTAACAATCATCACCTTCAAAGTAGGCTCCTTCACAACATACACACTTGTTCCATCAATTTTATTAGTGCGAGAAGCACCTCTCAAGCTGAATTGTAACTATCACCAACAGCTGCTCCATTGCTGTGCGTATGAGTGTTTCTTCATCGTAAATTCTTTTTAAGTTACAGAACGTTAGAAAGTTAACAGCGATCTATATTATTATATTTAAGCATCCTGTTGCACTCTACACGATAAATGATACAAACTCCGTCCTAAGTGCAAACAATATATATTTATATGTCTTTGATCTTGTTCTTTCTACACTACATGTTTCGGCCTCTATCGGCCATCATCAGGTGTATACTCTTAACGTTGCTGCCACACTGAACCCAGTCTAAAACTTAACATTTAAAAACACAATGTCACATTCTTCGTATTATCAACATCTACATCGTTGATATGTGTCTGGTATGTAGATTATGTTGCACACGTCAAACCCGATATTCTTGTAGTAGCACTCTAAAAATCTTTAGTTATGATGTTTTTAAAACCTTTTAAAATTTTCNATTGTGTGCTGTGTTTTATGTTAGTGAGTGTAGGGGGGAATGGGTAGTGGGGAGAGAGAGGTACCGTTAGTCTGTGTAGATTTCGTGTATCGTTTGAAATATGGGATTGTGTGTTTCTATGTGTGTATCATTCATGTGTAAGCCTTTCTTACTTATTTTATATATATGGTATTTCTCTAATGTATTTAAATGTCTGCCCTTCTTTCCCGTTGTTACAACTTCCATTACGTCTGTTATTGTTCCGTATGCATGTCCTGTATCTATATGTTATGAGGATAGCTAGTTTGTGAAGTACCAGTACTGTGCTTGGCTAAAGTTTCCTGATAACATGGGCTGAGTGGGCAAGTGCACTGTAATTGTGAACTGACCAATTGCTAGACTCACTCTTTCCCAGCCATTTATGCTGCACATAATGGAGATGCCATAACACTTGTAAATATTATATACAAACAGTATGAACTGGATCACATTCATTATTCCATACAATCTTGCAAAAACAAAAAATAATCAGCATTACTCAGGTTTTCTTGTGCTCTTAGAGAGCCTTCTTCAGCCAGGGCAAGGTAGGATTTTCTGTTCTAGCAAGAGCTGCTTAGTTTTGGGGCCACAAATGTAGACCCATGTTTTATAACTTGTTATGAGTGTTATTAAGCATTCATCGGTTTCTGCATTTCACACCAAATTGGACTGTAAGTACGGATGCATGTTACTTGCATCACAACGAGAATTCTACACAATTGGAACTCAAAAAAGACAACTGGGTTCAAGTGCCCTCATTGTGATGGATAGTAAGCCAAAAGTATTTGTACACTATAATCTTCCAATACTTACCATTGCAAACTGCTATGAGCTACTAAATTACCTCAACCAGCTGACAAACACAACACTAAATCAGAGACTGGAAGTTAAACTGAAGACTCAAGACAAGAAAATCGAGACCAATCAAAATGCTTTCTCATACACACTATGTATGAGAGAGAGAGAGAGAAAAAGAAGCTAATCATGGATTCATTTATGATTCTATGAATGTGGCTCTGGTTTAATCTCTTATACACAATGTGTTAAAGTGAAAAGAAGGATGCAGGAAACTACAAATACAACTTGCCTGAGTGCATATCTGCAAGGCTTCCAGCACTTGCAAAACATCAAGTGCCTCACATTCAGAGAAAGCTACTTGGAAGTCATCCACAGTGTAGCAGCCTGTTACTCTAGCATTAGCCACAAAATCCAGGGACAGTAAATGACCGATCACATTGCTACACAGCCAGCAAGGTTGCAAACATACCAGATCCTGGTACTGAAATTTTATGTACACCACCTGCAGTTCAAAGTATAACATATATTAGAACATTTGCCCAGTTTACTTTCCTGCACAAATCTTATTTCCTGCCCTCCATTACGGATCTAAGTGCAGGAAATAGTTCACAGAACTGAGAACAGCATACTTGAAAAAAAAATGTTTATGATACAGAGAGGAATAAAATATGCAGCCATTACCCAGCTTGCTTGAGTAACAAGGACTCTGATATGATGAACATACCCTGCCATTCAAGAGAAAAGCTTTCAACCTGCCAGTACATTTTGCTATTTCAGGTATAATATGTCTACATCCTTTTAATAATAAAATTAATTACATTTAATTAATCAACAATTAATGTGTACACACCAACTGATAACTGCCTGAGAGGAGTTGAAGAATTGACTATTTCCAACAGTGCTTAATGAATATGCACAGTAATTACACATTCTGAATGGTGCTAACGTTATTCCTGTCCTAAAGTTTTTCATGACCTGCATCTAATGTGTGACTTCTGCTTTCAGGGTATACTGACACTGTATTTTCAACATGCACATTAGTGTGTAAGTTAGATTCTGATGACACAGACAAGCTCTCAAAAGCTTACTACATTGCCTTCAAGGAAAACAGATATACCCACCAGTTCAAATCACAGAAGTCAAATATAGAATGTCCATAACTATCATCATTTCAGGAAATGAAACAAAAAATTCTACTTCATGTAATGTTCTTCAATCTTATCGCCATACCCGGGCAGACTTCTGACAGCACAAATATTACTTCACTGAAAAATAACATGGTAAATGTTTCTATGCTATGAACTACTTGGGATTCAGTGCTGATAGTTCTGACTGATTATTATTATATGATTTAAGAAAAATTTTTAATTTAGAGAAATTTAGAGGCATCTCTACATTTCACAATCCCCTTAAGTTGTTGCTGTCAGCGGGAGTAAACAAGTGGACAATGGACATCTGGCAAGGGAGCAGTCACTGTCACTATCATTGGATGCAGTAATGCCCTGGGAAATTCAATCCTTCCAGTGCTGTTATTCACTTTAAGAGATATATGTTGATTGCATGAAACATCTCATTCCAGTGGTTTGTCAAATGGGGACAAGTTTCTTGAATTTCTGGACCATTTCTTTTATCATATGAAACTGACAAAAGTCAGTCATGAAGGCTACTTCACAATATCAGTGATCTCAAAATGCTGAGAGAATGGCATTACATACTGACATTTCCTCCTCATACCGGCCATTAGCTGCAGCTATTGGACTGTTACATCTTTAGCGCTTTTAAGAAGTTTTACAATGTTGTGAACAACAACTTGATGATGAGCAACTCAGGAAAACTGATTTGTCTTTACAATGTTGCCCAACTAATTGGTCTGGCGTACCCTAGTGCTTTCAGTCAATCTAATATCCAGTCTGGTTATTTCATTACCAGTTTGTGACACATCAATTCTGATATATTCACAGCAGACAAGATTTTAAGTTCAAATTATAAATCACTCCGTCCAATGTGACCTGTAAGTTTTTACTACATAAAAACTTAACACCCTTACATGTTTCGGTCTCTGTGGACCATCTTCAGAGGGCAAACATCACTACAAATAGGAAACCACCATCACATAATTTGTTTACACGTGAAGTACGTACACCTATATGCTACAATACATAGTACACAGAATAGAACATTTCACAACCACAGCAGTTTCCTGGGAATGTAAGTTTTTAAAAAACTGTATAAAATTCCTTGATGCTAATTAAAAGTTTTTTAGATTGTCAATAATTAAAATTCGTAAACCATGCAGGCTCGTGGTCGTCCTCCCATCATCTCTCTTATATGGGGCAGATATTGTGCCACCTGGCTATCTTGATGTGGAGGTTCTTTATATCGTCCAGGGTTTGCTCGTGGCTGCTGTGCTGTGAAAACAGTTTCATTCATTAGAACATTAAATAATGGTGGGTTTAGTTCACCTTGCTGTACTCATTTCCTGGCAGGTATTCCTTTTGTACTCGTAAGCTTTCAATTTACCTTGAGTTTTGTAAAATTATGTCTATTAATGTCCTTAATTGGAGTCAGGAACCTCAGTTGGTATGGCAATGGGCTACAGACTGGATGGCCTGGGTTAGACTCCCAGCAGGGCATGACTTTTTCTTCACAGCATCCAGACATTTAATTCTAAGATATAATAGAAAGTACTTCTTAAAAACACACATACCTCTCCCATAAGCTGCAGCTGTTGCATCAATTCCTTCATGTGCTCCTCTGCAGCCAATGGATTCACATTAGTGTGCACCAAATCAACAAATGTGAACCAGGGTACCACAGGAAAATTTGCTGAATTTCTACGTATGCTTGGCAACCAATTTACAACTCCTTCCAAGAAACCTGTCCATTTTTTAACACCCTGTGATTAAAAACTGATAATTAATATTTTTGAATATTTTATGGCATACCACAATAATACCAGAGAAATGAGAACTGCAGGAGTAAATAATCAGATTAGAAAGAAGAATTAGATCTGCTATAAAGGTACTGCAATGGAAACTCACTATGAGACAATATTTAATAAAATTAAAATTTTGAATCTATAAAAACAGTGTATCAGTCAGTCATTGCAATGAAGTTTTGAGGTTTACATGGCATGATTATTAAAATTGTGGCCTTAAGGGTTGTGTAATCCTATGTAGTTCTGTAGGTGTACACCGAGATTTCAGTGAAACATTCTGCCTGCATCTTCAGGGTTGAAGTGTGTAGGTTCAGGAATATACTTGGTTTGACCATTTTTTTGCAGCTGGCTCAGACTAGGTTCCTCTTCTTGCCCCCTCTATTTTGATTCCATGACAACCTTCCTTGTAACATGCCCATATTGTAGTGCCTTTTCATGAACTGACACACTTCAACCCTGAAGATAGAGGCAGTATATTCCTCCGAAACTTCAGTATCCAACCTTGGAACTACATGATGACACAATACAGAAGACCACAGATTTAAAAATCTGCATAATGTTCAACATAATATAAAACAACCCTTAAATGTAAATTTTGATGAATTACTCTCAACTGAGCAAAAAATAATGAACTCCTTTCCAATAGTCATATAGGGTTTGTCCTTTCTTGCACATCTACGAGAAGGTGTAAAAAAAATGTGCCTAGTACTACTTTTCCATGTCTGGCTCTCTATTTATCCTCATGTAACACCTCAGGAACTACTGAGAATATATTCATGATATTTGAAACTGGGAACTTCTGTTAGAATTTGCTTAAACTTTCTAATTTTGGTTAAATTCAGACACCCTATATGAAGATGTGGTATAGTTCATGAAGTCAGTTGGTTAGGTAGATAGTTACTCCCTCCACAAGGCTTACATAAAAAAGTGCACTGGACACAAAATTTCTTTCATTTCTCTCTACAACTTTCATTAAAAATACTGTGGCATATAGATTTGCTGCTAGGCAAAGACCTTGAAATGAACAAAACAGCAGCCAATGCGCCAATAGACTGGATGGGTAGCAATCATGTGGGAACCCCAACAGTCCAAGCACAACAATAGATGAGTTAGAAACGGTGCTTTCTGTGTGGTGCATGCCAAGGGATTATCAGTGAATCAAGTTTACAGTTTAGTTCAGTTGTAAGGGAGTCTGTGAAGATGTGAAGACACAACTTGGTCAGTGCAGTTGAAAAATCCCTACTATTAGAAGCCATTACAGAGACATAGCAGATTGAGAAGACTTGGAATGTGCTGTAATGATATGTAAAGTGTGGAAATTAAAGACAGTATTATAGTTACTTGTATTTACAACCAGTAAGTGGTCAATAAATCCCATCTCCAATCCAAAACCCCACATATAGTCACTCATACAAATGCTGGGGCTCAGAGAACAAATTTCTGTAAATGTTTCTGCTCATGAAACAAATAATTAATACTCATTAATAAAGATAGAATGTAAGTGTTAATGGTGAGTAAAATAGCCACAGAAAATTTTAAGTGGTCATTATTATAGCATAAATGTGTAATTGCTGGAAGATCAACAGAACAAAGTGCAAAAGGAAGCTTTAACAGTGCCAGTGTCAAATTATTAAGTGTCCCCTAAGTATCCATATACGTGATACAGTCATTAATTTCGTGGACTGTGGTTTTATCACATCATATTACAAGGTATTAATATACGCTTACACAGCTCCACATTGACCCTCAACTAACTCAAGTAACTTGCAACGACGCTTTGCAGCCAGTCCACGAAATTATTGACTGTGGTAGTATATCTTGCTGTGCCTGTGCTCAGATACTCCCTCACATACACTTGTATGCACTTCATATCTTCATAATTCTATCAATGCTTAAATGCTACTGGCAACTAAGTAGTCTAATAACTGCACTGTTATAAGCGTGTGTCATATGTGGCTCATCTATGTTTAGAATTTATAGAAGTTGTAACAGTTAGAGCTGGAGTCAAGGTTTGGCATGGCTTACTCTTTGACCCAGAAGATGGGTCAAAACTCAGTGAACATCAGCCAGATGATATTTATTTCTATCAACAAAACACTATTTATAGCAGGTGGGATTGCTGTCTATGGAATTAAAATTGTTAATTTTAAGAAGCTAGTAAAATCAAGGGAAGTTATATGCAGGGCATATGTAAAATGAGATTTGTGATATCATAAATCTCATCAACTGGATAAACCATTTGCATAAAATAACTGATGACACACTCTCTTTCACTTTCCATTTTATTCTTCGTGATTTGAAGAATGCACAAAATCTGATCAGTTGTTGATCTTGTATGTGATGACCCCCAATAATCAGAATTACTAGGTTTTTGGACTTTTTCCATCATCTGGTAATCTAAATACTAGAAAACACGTTTTGGAAACTGGATATGTTTCTGTCCTCAGGTGAAGGTGGGCAGGAAGACACCTACTCAGTTGGGTCCCTTAGATAGAGCTAACCTCAGTCAATGGAGGTTAGCTTTTTCTAAGGGACCCAATTGAGTAGCCATCTCCCCCTCACCTGAGGGCAGAAATAGATCCAGTTTCCAAAACGTTGCGTTTTCTAGTCTCTAGAATACTGGATGATGGAAAAAGTCCAAAACCCCAGTAATTCTGAGTGTTATACACCACCATCAGAACCCTTTAGAATCTAATCTCCAATAATCTTTGCACATATATATTTCACAACGAGGTAAAGATCCTGGATAAATGCCATAAACCCTATTATGTTCCATGTAGATTTTATGATCTTCCTTTGTAATACATGAATGCTTACATTCTTTCAATTGTTTCCCTCAACATACAAGAGAGAAACTGGTTTCAATTTCACCTGCTGGAAATAGTGTTGTGTCAACAGGAATAAAATAAATATCTATAGTGATTACACAATAAGATGTGACAAAATATGAGGATCTATCACAACACACGTATTAATGATTTTTAGAATTATATTTTGATTGCTGTTTAAAGGCAATGTTCTTGATAAAAAGTTGGTGTAAGAGGGCCATAACTTGAAGTAGAAAACAAAAGATACACCACACACTGAATTCCAAATACTCCTCTCTACCCAGTGAAATAGGCTTCCTCCAACATCAGCTACAGATTGATTCTTCAAGGGTCAGTTGCATGTCGTGTAAAAATATTTACCAATTAATTTACTGTCTTTTTCATCTATTTGTGCTAAAATATAGAGGTAAAATTACATTTCAATGTACAGTAAACTCCCTCTTATTCATACACAAACCATCGGTGGGAGCTAAGACAAACATTACAATAATCCACACACATGAGGCCTTGCAGAATATACAGCCCAGAGTCCATAATATCAGAATATTGTCAACACAAGCAAAACTAAAGAGACAAACTCTTAAGAGAAGAAAATATTATAGGGCCAATAATGGGACACAGTCTGTCAGCATATACAATCAGAGAAGACCTGCCAGTCACAGTGGCTGTGTGGTCTAAGGCATGAACTGTCTTCACTCGCTCGAATGTTGGGATCATGGGTTTGAATCCCTCTCAAGGCATGGATGCCTGTGTGCTTTATTCTGTGTAGGCAGTGGCCTTGCAACAGGCTGATCACTCATCCAAGGAGTCATACTGACCATGTATATGATCAAGAAACTGAAAAAGAGGCCAAGACCCAACAGAGAACCATAGAGCCATAGCAGTAGTAGTAGTACCAGTAGTATACCTATCTTTGTCTTACCTCTGATTTTATGTTGACAGACTATGTCTCTTCATTGATTTTAAAATATTTTCTTCTTTCAGAGTTTGTCTCTAGTATTACTTCTTTTGGTAGTTCTCTGATTTTATGGACTCTCTACTGTAAATTATGCATGGACATAGATGTGTGGAGTTTTTTAATGTTTGACATAATTTCTGCTAATGTATTATATGCAGACCAGCTGCTAAGTAATTACTCTGTAAACAAGGACTTTGATAGGCAATTGCTGTAAACAGTAACACAGATGTGGTGTTCTCTATGTGGTTGGAGAGATAACCACATGATGCAGCAATAGAAGAACTGTTGGGAGAGTTTTATTCAATGCAGTCTGTGCCGAGACTGGTAAAAAGACAGGCAGCTGCAATTATTATAGGGTTTTAAGACAGCAGTTAGAGGAGCAGAAATTATTTTTGAGGCTGTTGCCGGCCAGTAAGGACATGAACATGAATGCTGAGGAAGCTACAGCATGGGAATCTGTAACCACACGACATGTGAATATGAAGCGTATTGAGAAAGTAAGATCTAAAAGTTTGTGAAGATGGTACATTAGTACAAATATTCTGTTTCTGGACATTATCCATCGTCCTGTCTTTATCTAAAGACACTTCCCTGTTTATTTTCCAAAACACAACGTTTCAGAGACTGGATTCTGTCTCTGTCTCCAGGTAAAACCTACTCATTTGGGCCCAATTGACAGAGCTAGTCTCTATCTCTGGACACCTGTGCCAGTACCAAGCTGGGGTATACAAGCCACACACAGCACAAACCATCTGTCAGAGCTAAGAAACGTTAAATTATTAAGAACTATATACAAATAAGGCCTTGCACCACAGAACTATCACAACAAAAATCATCACTGGAGAGAAGACATACTCCTTATGGAACCAATACAAGGAAAAAAAAAATCCAAATCAATCTACAATTGATGGTGTTATAGCTTTTTTACTTCTGCTGTGATAATGGGGTACGAGGTGGGAGAGAAGTCCAAGCTAGGTTGACTGATCAAATGGTCTAGCAGAGACATGTGGGCTGATTCCTTGTATTTCCTGTATGTGGTGTTTGCCTCAATCTGCAAGACCTTCACATCATTCCAATATATTTTGTGGCCTTCTGTGTATGCATGTTGGGCGAATTTTGATTTTTCAAGTAAATCCTGCGTCAGGTAATATTTGTTCTCCTTAATGCGTACTTCTAAAGGTCTGTTTATTTCAACATTGTAACATCTGCCACAACCACATGGGATGCTGTACACACACTGCTTCATCTGCTGGGCATCTCTAATCTGTCCAGTTTTCATCAGTGCCCCACAGAGAATGTTTAGTCTTGAAAATTGTTCTGAAATTGAAATGGTTTGTGATGAACCTGAATTTCTTGGAAGTATCCTTAACATATGGGAAGATAACAGTGCCCTGGTATAGTGTGTCTGAAGAAGGCCAATTTCTTGTCGATGGTTCCATTACAGAGTCAACAAATTCTTCTGGATATTCATTGACCATCAGATCATGTGTTATGTTCTTAATTTCGTTGTTGAAATTCTTCTGATTTTGACATATGACCTTCGCTCAGTTGGCCGAACTATGAACCACTCCCCTTTTTACGTGAGGTGGGGCGTTGGATTTGAAGTGCAGATAATAACCAGTATGAGGGGGCTTCTTGTATACTTTTGTGGTTAGTTTTGGACCCCGCTTCATAACCAAAATGCCTAAGAATAGAAGGGTATAATTAGCTTCAACTTCCATTGCGAATTTGATAGTAGGCCTAATGCTGTTTAGATGGTGAAGAAATTGCTGTAACCTTGGTGGTCCATGTGGCCATACCACTAATGTGTTGTTGAAGTACCTGAGCGATTTAGTGGATTTGTAGTTTGTTGTGTCCAGTGCTATATCCTCAAAGTGCTCCATGATTATGTTACTGACCACGGGCAACAGAGAGCTTCCCATTGCCATACACTCTTTTTGCTGGTACAATTTATCCTCAAACAGGAAGTATGTGGTTGTTAAACAGATGACCAGTAGTTCCATGAGGTCTTCAACTTGTAAAGGTGAGCGTTCTGGGGAAGAAGGATTATACTGAGTCTCTTTCTTATGACTTATAAGACTTCTTCTACTGGTACACTGGTGAATAGACCGAAAAAATCAAAACTCACAAGGTAGTCTCTGTTTTGCAGGTTGATATCCTATATTGATTTTATAAAATGTTCTGAGTCCTTCATGAAGGAGCCTTTATTGCCAGCCAGAGGGCTCAGGATCACCGTAAGATCCTGCATTTGTGAGTCCACTGTGGTGTGTGCAGCGATTTTTTCATTTAAAATACTAGATACTGACAGACATGCCTCTCTGGAAAAATTTGGAAAAAAAAATTAAAAGCCAGTGACAGAAATGAAAGTTATTTCTTTGATAATCACAACAAATAAAATTAAATTAAATCCAGTAAGTAGTATGAGTCACTCCACAATTTTCAAAGAATGTGTATTTTCATTTCAGCTTCTACAGATACTGTATATCTTGAACCATAACACTAATCACAATAGAATTTTATTCCTTTCGACATACTAGTGTGGGAACCTCCCACAGTCAAAAAACAACTCAACTCCCACAGTGTAGCAAGAGCAGACAATATTTACACACTACAGCTTGCAATCTGGCTGTCTACTGCCACACAAATGCTACCCAATCACCGATCACCATAGCAGCTCCAAAGTTCATTCATTAGTGCACCACCTAGTGGTAAGAGTATAATAATGCTGGCCTCTGACACGTTTGCATCAAGAGATCACCACAGCAGCAACTCTACTAGTAACAGCACCACAGCTGATGCTGCCACTGCAGACACCGTAGGCCCACCAGCCAGTCTTGCCATTATCCCACTGGCTCACAATCACCAGACTGCAGCAAAGAACAACACTGGATGGCTACAAGGAAGCACGCCACACTGGCTAGCTCATTGGAATGGAGATTTCAGACAAACGGCCCTTTTCAAGGCCTCCAATAGCACCGTCATCACAAGACTTGGCTAGCTGCTACGAAGGGAGTCTCCACTGGTATTCTTCAGACACGCTCCCTGCTCATCTGTAGTACCCGTTCTAAGCGCAATAAACATTTGTTGTTATAGTTTTACGTTGTTGTCACAGCGGACATCGACATACGACACTAGTTTTATCCAGTAGACCAGAACACAACAATAACTATTTTGGCAAGAATGACTTTCATTACTTGCTACCTCAAATGAGCACACTTATGCAAAAAATATATCAAATTGTCCTATTTATATCAGACTATTCGCACTGTTATAAAATTCATAAACTAAAACTGATGGTATTTGAGGTCCTCTTGGAATTATAAACAAAATGTTGAGTGGACTTCTGAGCTACTTTGGATATGATGTTGAAAAATAATTTCTAATGGGGAACAGAACTGAATTGCCATTACAGAGGTCTGAATTTCGTAACTTAATTTATTTCTCTGGCTGAAACATTTCACAATAAAAAATGGATCTCATGTTCAAATTATCTGTGGATCATACTATATAATGCCAACTCTGCAAAAAGATTTGTAATGACGTTTCAGCCTTCCAGATGACTGCCATGACAGTACCTTATAATTGTAAGTTGCAACTTCTTCCCCTCCCAAGACATTTTGCATATTGATCACACAAATATATTTCTAGTTTAGATAACTGGGTGCAATAAAAATCTGATTAAACAGTATAAAGCAAAAGCCTATTTTATTACAATACAGCCTTGAAGACAAGTAATACATGCAAACGTGACTAGAGGTGCAGATCAAAATGTGTTCTGTTATGTAAGTGACAAAACATTGTAATCTCCTATTAACATAGTACAGTTTGCCGAGACACATTCTTTACAGGGTTCTGGAAATTCATGATTACTCCACACAATCAATTCAGTGGACCAATAACACAAAGACTCAGTTCTGTCTTCCTAAAACCTCTATTTTCCAACAGAGTAGAAAAACAAGGTTTTGCTACTCATTTAGAAATTACCTGAACTATGATCCCAAAAATGTTAAATGCTATTACTCTACTGTAGTTAATTTCTAAAAATATATGGAATATCCATTAAATATAATATTAAGTATTATCATATAATTAAATATTATTGATTTACTTAACAATTACAGTGAAACTCAATAGTCAGAACAAGTGATACTCTACCAATTTAAAGATTACTGATTATTCAGCTGTTCCAGGGAATCACAGTTACAATGGAACTTTAAGCATCACAAACTATTATTCTAGTATTCCTTTTAATATCCTCATGCCATTTATTCTTAGGTCTCCCAAGCAGTCTTTTGCCATGAGATCCTCAACATAATAAATAATAATAATAAGGGCATAAATAACTGAAATAAGAAAAATCTTCACCAGTCACACTAGACGGAACTGTTTAACTTTTCATGACATCTGTTGTTTCTTTTATGTTTGCTACTTCTCTAGACTTTATTAATATAATCATCCTAAGTAGGTGAATTCTGGCCATGTCATTGGCTCTAGCTGCTGGGTTTTCATCACAGAGGCCTAGGTTCAATCCCAGGATACTGAAGTGGGATTGATGGTAGACAAAGCAGCACTTAGGCAGGTTTCTCTTGTAGCACCTTGGTTCTCCCCTTCAATTATCATTCCATTAATTTTCCGCACTCATCTTTCATCAGTGGCTGGCACAATAGGCCTAACTGGGACTATCATGCCAAGGGGCTCCATCTCACCTCATTCATATGATTTAGAAAAGAAATACAGTTGAAGAATTCATATTACAATGCATCTCCTTTGGTAAACTTTTCCTACTATTTTTAGGCAAAAGTATTCTCTTCACACATTCAGTCTCTCTTCTTCTCTCAAAGTAAGCGACCAAGTACCACAGCTACAGAAAACTAAAATTATAGGTTTATACACTTCAATCACAGATTTTGGAAAGATAATAAGAGACAAAAGAACCTCAATTAAATGGCAGAAAAAATTTCTATATCTCTAAACCACTATGACATAAAATCAAGAAGGAACAGGAATTCACCATGCATAAATGAAACAAAAAATGTAGAAAGATTTATGATTAGAAAACCTCATGGAAAGAGACCACTCCAGAATGTGTACATAGGTTGGGGTAAGCAACCTGATATATATTATATATTATCATTAAAAATTGAAATGAATATATTCTGTCATTTATTCCAATGCTTATCATCTCTCTCTCTACTTTCTGATGGTATTTCTTACATTTTTATTCCATCATTAGAAAATTCACTGCACAATGAAAGGATTAAAAAAACTGCATTTCTAATTTAACTTCATTTTGTCTAAGGAATAATACCACAACGCAGTTCTCATGTATGTGTTGTAGAGCACAATATATAAGATGTATACAAATAAATAAGAACATGGAGAGTATCACTCAGTCTTAGTCCTAGCTAGTACACATCTAAATTTAATGACAAAAGACTATCAATAATTTAATAAGGACTCAAATACATAAATGAAACTTTCATTTATCCCATCCCTTTGTTAAAACATGCTGATGTGCAGCTTAAACAAGTAATTATAGTTCGCAATACATAATTTCCAGAACAACTGAAACACAATCTGTTGTTTTTAGAAAAGAACAATCACAATAAGCCTCAATCACTGTGCACACAGAGACTGCAAATTGTGACAAACCAGGTGTTTTGTTACTTAACTGGCCACCAGCATCCATTACTGCAGATTCGGCTAGTAGGTTATATTCCTTGTGACCTGCACCATGGGGCTTTACAAGTCCAACTCCACCACCCTGCACCCAATGTACAACTGTTCAGAGCCAACTGAGAAGCTTACTCACACTAACTCCAAAACACAGTATAAAAGTCTAAGTAGCTGAGCTTAAAGAGTCTGACTTCCATACCTGATTTTTCAAGATGATCTTAAATTTCACCACATTGGTACTACTTACTAAGTGCCATGTAAACAAAATCAAATGTGAGATCAGAGATTCTCATGGTGGTAACTATGGAGCACATTTTCTTCTAGGATGGGCATGACACAATCCTGTAGGAGTTCATCCACGTTTTGGACAAACATACTTCCCTCATCTCAAGGGTTCAAGAGTAAGTCAAACAAGCTGGCAACAAGAAGAGAGCCCTGCTTGGTACACTGCTTGTCCGGCTTATTTTTCAGTCACAGCTTGCCATTTGATTACTCAAAACCACAATCAAAATCACATAAGATGGCGAGGCTACATGCTTATAAAATTGAACTGAAATATAAAATCAAAGACAGATCTTCCAGAAGGAGTTAATATGCAGTTTCCATGCTAAATTAAGCTGATGAAGATGTAGATTTTCTAAGATGAATACTTTTAATAGACAAAACTTTTGTTTTGCATTAGGGGCCATGTTAATTGTCACAGGTGTTGAATTTGTGGAGCAGAACAACCACATTATGTAGGATTATGTTTATCAGAACATGCTTTACACCCTGAAACTCAGTATGTGGTGTGGATTCTGTACAATTATATGAAGTAACATTTCCCTATTCTTTTTTGTAGAAAAACGTAGATAATGCAAGAAAGACACCACATTTATTTTCCATAAGGACAGGGCTCCACCCCATTGCGGTTGTAAGATTAAGCATGCTCCGGAATTCTATGTTTTACATTCAATGGATCATAAGAAATGGAACAATAAACTGGCTTCTAAGAAGTCAAGATTCTATAGAATTGGACTTTTTTCATTTACAGTTATGCAAAAAACGTTGTCTACACAGAGAAAATCTGTTTTGTTATAACTCCTGCAAGAAAGAATGCTATCATGACTGACATACTGAGATGAAATAAAATACTGCATAGACACCTACAGAGCTGCAAACGGTGTTCAGATGAGGACTTACTGAGGATGACTTGGATGTCTTTGAGAAATTCTCCAGATATTGAGAAACAGGTAATTCATTACATATATATTTTATGAGTTATTGCTACCTGAAATTAGAAGTTCTTATTTGATGACCTCCTAATGCAAGGCAAATGGAACATGAATACATACTGGACTTGTTTACGTGTTATCATAAGGTTCATTCTTACATAAGCAGAACAGCTATCTGTGAATAAATAATGAATAAGGCAAGGCTGACAAATGATAAATCAGGATGATCATAGGACACATTAATATTATATTTACATTATTTGTATTGTGACATGATGGCTGAAAGTCAGAAAAAAGGAACAAGAAGAGGTGGCTATTGCTAGGCAACAGTACAGTAAACATGTTTCCGCAGTAACAAATAAACATGCGATAACAGAGGGCCTGCTGGAAGCGACGTTTTCTTTGCAGGCCATATAACAAGGACCAAAGCCGACAGTCAGTTGTTTGTTGTGATTCAGCACTTATAGTTTGTGGTTAGTTGTCAAAATGGAAAATGAGGAATCTCCATTGTTAGGCGTCACTACCAACCAATCACTAGTCAAGACATAACAGACTAAGAAGACTTAGTGTGTGCTGTAGTGATTTTGTACAGCATGTAGACTAGTGAGAGTGTCATAATCATTTGTAATTACACGTCATAAGTGTTTAATAAATTCAGTTATCAATTAACACCCCATATCTAGTCATTAACATGTGGTAATATTATAACATATTCTTCTTTAGCAATGAAAATGGCTATCATTAATAGCACTGAAAAACTCATTCCTTTATAATGCATATTTCAATTATAATGATATTTTCATTTGATGTTTCTCAGTTTAAAGTTCTTCTCTAATCTAGAGTTCAACTTTACAAACTGAGCTCAGTTAATTGAGTGTTCAATTTCCTGTAAGGCTCTTTTGTCAGTTTTGAGGAAAGTATCTGTTTCCCAGAGGAAAGCCTGAAATGATAAATTTCAATATAGCATGTTTCAGTTCTCAACACATGTTCAATGAAATATTTCAGCAACAGAAGTCCTCAATCACTCCCCTCCTCCCTCTCCCCACCCTTCTCTCCAGAAAATATTCAACAGGGAATTTTCTTCACAGTCAATGACTCGTTTGGCTAATTGTTCTATACATTAGATTCCAGCACATCTGTTGCATACATGACAACATAAAATCAAAAACAGATTAAATACATTTGGCTCTGAGAAACCATGAGGTATTATAAATGTACTATAAAATAAAGGTGAGACATTTTCAAACATAACAATGAATAAAAATAAACTAAATAGTGTACCTTAAAAGTGCATACATTTTCCTTCATGTCCCTTAAAAGTGTTTGCATGTAATTTTTCTGATGACATTATGTAAATTATTACAGAAAATACCATAGCAGGACACCTATTCATCTAAATCCACTGTTTAAAGTCCAGTTTCAACAGCTGAAATTGACTTCATCAGTTTCATATATAAGATGACCCCCTAAATTTAAAAGGATTCTCCCAAAATTAGAAGTTGTCACAAAATATGAAATATTAATTTCTAATCCATAAATGGTACTTGATGTTTAATATCTGCTATACAATACTCCAAAAATAATTAGTTCCATTCAAAATTCCTGTAATTAACTTAGAGATTACAATTAAATAAAGTGGGGCAAGCATAACCCACAGTCCTCATGGGCAGAGCACAGCAGGTATGAGCGACCTGTAAGTTGGCAGTGTGGAAGTGTTGGCTATCTTAACAAGAGACTGCCAACATGGTTGACCCCAAAAGGAATGCTTTGGAAGATGTTCACCAACATTTGAGAAATAAGTATGGGATAGCAGCTAGAAGGTGCTGGTACCATTACTCCCACCCCCTCATTATACCCTCAGCATGCTTTCAAGGCAGGGTGATGGCAGCCAGAGCAACAAGGGCTGGATAGGAGAAAAGTTATGCCTACTGCTGACTGACACCCAGGGCATCAGTGATGATTGACAGGACAGATATTACAACACAAATGCCCAAGAAGAAACTGATCTGGTTAATCATCCTGCAGATGGCATCAGAGGAGATGCACTGGTAGAGCTGATTCTAGGGCAGCAAGACTTGACAAATTTTGTGTCCTTTGCCAAAATCTCAGGCAATACATCCTTGCATGACATTATTGTGACACACATAAAGGCAGTCACAGATGTAACACGGACGTCCTCCACCTCAGTACGTATAGATCGTAGAGTGGTATGCCTATAGGATTCTTGTATAAGCATCCTTAAGGATGCAGCAATGTGACATGGTGCCTAAAAGTCAGAATTTTAGAATAAAAAAAAATGCTACAGAGGCGTCCATTGCTAGGTAACATCAAGCACCAATCCTTGAGAGTCATGTACATGGACAACAGTTGACAAATTCTTGGGGACAGTCTTTTCTCATTGGTCTGCAACAGTGCAATATAGACAGAGCTTGCAAAGTAACAGAGGACTCCATTATTAGAGCCTCGAACCTATAAATACATCTGTGATGACCAAGCCAGCAAGGAACCAAGTAAGAGTGATATAACAGGTTGTGAAGTGACAGAAAATTATTGTAAAGTGTTGAATTATTTGCAAATAAGACAATTTGGTGTTCAGTTAATGCAAATTTCATCATATGACTGCAGCATAAACAAACACCACAGCCAAGATAAAATCCAGGCAGCTACCGGTGCACTGTGGAACATGTGGATACTTACTAGTGAAAAGCTACTCACACAAGGTGGGAATATTTGGGCACCTTGATTTTTGCATTATGTGATTTTATAAAAAAAAAAAAAAAAAAGTGGACTGATATAAGTGCAGAAACTGTCATCAGTTCTTCCAGGATTGTGGTACATTACATTCAGTGGCTAGAAGAGATTGCAATTTATTTCAGCAAGATGAGAGGGAAGCTGAAGTCAAAGTGGCACCATCCAATTCAGAGTATGATCCACATGACGATTTACTTACACGATCTTTTTCAGGATGTGCTTACAGAACTCCTAATGTCATATGTGTAAGGGTTTGATTAAATTACAGTTTAAAAAGAAATATTTTATAATTGTCTTAACTCATAAATGTAGCCCTAAATTGAAATTTGTAATTGAAAATTCAGGAGTCATCTTATATATGTCAGTACATATATTATCTGAAATTCATAAATAGTTTACCTTATAAGAAAGAAAAACTGTAAAATTTAGGGTATCAAGATTTCTACAACGTTGAAATTAAACACCTTTTACCTAAAAATAAATGACAAATAGTTCAGTCTTGAATAATATTCAGCAAATGTGATTCTACATATATTTGTCGGAAACTGTTTTATTATCTCAAGTGCATACCTGTAGAACCTTCTGTTTGGCATCTGCTAAATAGGACTTAATAGCCCTGATGCCTGGTGAGCTAGAAAGATGGGCATCCACAATGAGAACTTGCTGATGAAGCTCAAAAACTGCCCCAAATTTGTCAGTGAGCTGTTTCAACAACCTTTCTGCCTGGGAACTGATATAATTGCCTTGGGATGTACGAGGTACACGTGAAGTATCAGGATGTGTTGCCACCAACAAGACTGGTGCCACTCTGCTTGCTACCCCACGGTCACCTGCAAAATTACAAATATTTACATATATCAGCAAACCAGGGAATTCCACTGGGCTACTTTTACAGCAACAGGTGAATTTGTGTCTCAGTATTACTTTCTTGCTATTACCCTGAAATTTCCATATAACAGACACCAAACAGGCACAGTATTGTACCTGCTACAGAGAAATACTATTACTATACTTACCTTGTTCATTTACACCAAATTTGTTTTGAATAGTCTGCCAAGCATACACACCATTTTCCATGTTACAAATAAGCTGCATTGCTAAAGTTATTTGTAAATGTTTTTTTTCATAACTTTCAAAACAATTCCCACTGACGTACTGTAACAAACTGTGACATGCTGCCTTAAGGCCAGAATAGTGGAGCCAGAAATGTCCACTGCTAGGTAACTGCTCGGTAAACACATTTCTGCAACAAAGCCCAACAGTGGAACTATTGTTCTGAGATGGTGTTTTCTGTGGGTCCATCCCAGCACTATATAACGAGGATCCCAGGAAAGCTAAGTGACTTGATTGAGGAATACGAATAATTTGGGAGTAGCTGAAGAATAATTTAGGGAGTCTCTTGAAGCAGCAGTCAAAGATGAAGAGAAGAGAAGACATGGTGTGTTATTTAGTGCTTTGTGAAGTGTCGCAATAAGTTGTATAAATGTGCAATTAACCTGGTCATCAATCCAAAACCCATCTATAAGTCACACCACATACCCCCAAATACATGACAACATGGTGGTTAAGTACAGGCACCAGAGGCCTTATGAACACAGTCATAAACCTTCATATCCCATAAAATGCTGTAAATGCTGGGAATGGTGATTAAGTTTCCAAGACCACCCATTAGAGCCTAGGCATACTACTCGTATATTGTAGAGCCATATTATGTGTGTGTGAAATTTTTTTATTTTATTTTGTCCCCACAACAGGCAGTATGGACATACCATGTATGAAAACTAGCAGAAGAATAAAGGTGAATGCGAAAAAAGTCAACACTTGATCATGGCTTAATGAGCTGAAACATGTTGTAAGAAACGGCGAATGTTTTGTATGTCCATACTACCTACTGTTGTGATGGAATAAAATAAAGAAACATGATAACCTGTTTAACCCATAACATTGATATACACAATTTTTCTTTTCCTAATGCATGCTACAGGACCTCAGTGTGCTTTTCATTGTCGATAACAAATCTATATAAACAGAATTTTGCTGTCACCCACATAGTTTACAGTTTTTCAAAATATCGTTTTTTAATTATGCCTACAGCAAGTTTACAGAACTTCCTTGTTCATTCCTGTCAATATTACTTAATCATTAATTTTGTACTTTTTTAATTTAACTGAACTTCCTTGTTCATTCCTGTCAGTCTTACTTAATCACTAATTTTTTTACTTTTTGAATTTAACTGAATGGATTTAAAAAATAAAACACATAACTTAAAGTTGTATATACTATCTGAACATCAGACTTCGCATAACATTTTTCTCTTGTAGCTATTGAATGTAACAGTAACTGTGTCATCTGTATGCAAGTTCAAACATGCACAAGCACTAACATTTCATTCCTTTCCAACACTTCTGTGTACTTACTTCATGGGCTGAATGAGTACAGAGATTCATTATGCCTCAAAGTTGTGGAAATCACGTAGGTAGTTCCTGTTATATGTGTGGTGACTATATTATGAAACTTAACCAAAAAAAATGACACATCATTAATTACAAAAGCTATACTTTGGGTGCAAATAGGAGACAAGGATAAACATTGGGCTCCTCACATTGTCTGTGCCAACAATATAGGGTATCTGAGAAGATGGCTGAAAGGTTCTCAGAAGTTATAATGTTACCTAGTGGTTCAGTGGGTGGTATCCGTGCTTGCAAGAACGCCAGCCAGAAGCAGCATTGCTGGTACTGCACGCTAGCAGAATCCTCTAAACTGAACACCACAACATGTAGGCAGTTTGTGCTGCCCAGAAAGTGGTCATATAGGAAGAAATATGTGTCCTGCCCAGAAAACTCCCACAGCGTAAGGTCTCCCACTCCAGAAATTGACACCTGCAAAATGTAATACCAAGGTGCAATAACAAATATATTTTAACTTTCATGAATATAAATACTATCATGAATTTAAAAATAAACAAAGCATATGAAATTTGAAGTTTTACTATGGTGAAGATTCATATAGTGGTCTTCTGGGTTGTGACATTGTGTAGTCTGGTAAATAGATACCAGTGTTTTCTCTGAAATGCTTATAACCACCTATCAGACTACATGATCCCATAACCCAGAAGACCACAATATGAGTAACATAAAGCAGTTACAAGATTAACAGCTTCTGTTCTACTAATAGAGAACTTGACTTGTAACAACAAAAGTAGCATAAGAGACACCCCAAGAGTCTGGCTCACTGATCTTTTCCAGGTTAGATCAACTTTTCCTCTTTGTATACCCCACCACGGTCAGGGATTTGCCTTTTCAAAGAAGAGATTGAGGAATTCAGCACCCAATTTGTGGAACAAACTCCAATTTCCTCCTCCATATATTATGAGTAAAATAAAAAAAATTTCCCAAAGGATTTAATAAGAATGATGCAGCACTTTATGGAGCTCTGCAAACCATACTGAATGAGAAAAGAACAACACTTCATATAACACAGGATCTGTTCACAACTACATGAAATAATTTTAGTTTTACTGATGAATGTATGAGGTAAAAAATATTTAAAGCAAAGCAGGGATAGAAACTGAAATGAAAAAATGAAGAGACTTTTCCTATGCATGAAATGAAAACCATATCAAAACAAAATAGATACACATATATGAACAGTGAAATGAACATGGCATAATGATGAACTTCAGATTTTGAAAATTTATAAATAGAAAACTGGTGCAACTTTACACGCATTCTTGGAAACTGCACTGTCATTCAAGAGTACTGCATTTATATGAATCCACGCTTCTTACAGTGCAAAAGAACCAATAAATTATTTCAACAAAAGTAGTAAAAGCAACCGCCTTGGTTACTTACGAAGAGTACCACTTTATCTTATGTTTTTACAATGCAAACAGACAAGATTTTGATTCTGGAGTATCATATATATAGGCCGCGCCATAGCTCAAGCGGTTAGTTGCTGGCTTCCCAACGCAGCAGCCCAGGTTCGATCCTGGGTCTGGTCAAGTGGGATTTGTGGTGGACAAAGTGGCGCGGGGGCAGGTTTTCTCCAAGTACTTCGGTTTCCCCTGCCAATCTTCATTCCACCAGTTTCTCCACAATCACCCTCACCTATCATCTGGGGCTGGTAGAATAGGCCAGAAGTGGCCACAGTCCAAGGGACTTAGTCCCACCCCACTAGCAATAAAAAAATTATATATATATAAAGAGAGAGAGAGTTTTTTTTTTTTTTTTGCATAAATGAAACTGACTGATTCTTGCCTTACTTAAAAACCGCTTCTTCAACCATCTTGAATTACAGGATAATTCTGAATTATAAATTAGAAAACATATGGAAAGAAGCAGATTTGTCCTATTTTAAAGTACTAAGCCATTTCTGGATGGACTGCAGAAACTATGATAAACGACAGCCAGGATAACATACTTTTAAGCCCAACATTTCAAGTCAGACCAAAATAACATAACAGGAAGTTCTGGCAAGAACTAAATGCCTACGTTCCTTTCACTGTAATTTGAGTATCTGATACAAGTTGAAAACTTTACTATGTATACATAATGAAGTTGATAATACAATACAATTTGGAAGGCTGTAGTGTTGGTATTACTGAAGTGGATGATTTATGAATTACACTGTTGAGAGGGCCTCAGATGGAATGATATACGTACCAAGTTCCATAAAGATTAGTTCTGACATTCAAGTAATATATTAGAGTTATTACTATGACAATCTGAGAAGCTGCAGTGTTGGTATTATTTATGGAAAGAAGTTATGATATATGCCATTTAGATGACCTTAGATCACATGACACATACATTCCAAGTCTCATGATGAGGAGGTCAGGCATTCAAGTAATATTAAGCGTATTAACTCAAAAATGAGTGACTATGTGTTGGTATTGCTGATGAGAGTGATTTATGATGTACGCCACTGAGATGGCCTCAGTGGCGTGATATTTACGTACCAAGTTTTATGAAGATTGGTATAGGTATTCAAGTAATATTAATATGGAGTTGCCTAGTCACAGTAAGAAAATAAATAATCTTTTTGTTTATAAATGGAGATGGAAGGGAGTCCATATTATTTTGTACAATTGAACTGTTTTTGTACATTTATTACAATGATGATTCACCATATAAAAGAGTACAATACTATTAAGAGGATAAAAAGTTACAGAAAAAGTTCTCAATTAACTGAATGAGTATTGTCTGTATTCCAGTTTGTATACCTCAAAAGAAAACAGGATGATTTTATTATAAAGCAGTCCATGGTGAATGACTTATTAGGAATACATAAGCCTGTCTCATAGATGGAATCTGTGAGATCATAACACGTTTTGAATATGTAACACTTTCTAATGATTACCTGTTGAACATCAATGCCACGTGTATACTGGTAATTGTATGTGCCAAAACTTAGGGAGCTCTGAGATGATGTTATATCCATTTCAATTTGCATTTTGCTACCAGGAGATGTTGACCCATCTATAACAAAAAATAGATTATGAATACATTTGAGATACTGATATAATACAATGATTAATACTAATACATTTTCACAGGGTATATAAAGCATGTGCCGGTCACGGTAGCCGCGCAGTCTAAGGCATGCACTGTCTTCGCTCGCTCGGAAGCCGAGATCGTGGGTTCGAATCCCACTCAGGGCATGGATGTTTGTGTGCGTTTTTCTGTGTTTGTCTACAGGTAGAGGCCTTGCGACGAGCTGATCACTCGCCCAAGGAGTCCTACCGTATGTGTAAGATCTAGTAAACCGAAGTGAAACGGACAGTTTCATGGAGGTAGGCCTAGGCCCAAATGAGGGCTGTAGCGCCAATGGAAAAAAAAAATATATATATAAAGCATGTAAGCAAGTAATTTTCTCATTAACTAGAATGCAATTTTTAGTCAGATCATTTTAAAATTAGGCCTGTCACTGCAGCATAGTGCATCCTCAGATTGAAGATGAAGGAAACCATATCCATATATGGAACGTGGCTAGGAATATTGTACATATATTGAATAAGTAGATGAAGATCACCAACAAAGAATGGCCCTCCACTCTACAGGTTTCTATAGTAGGTTCACTGAGATATAAGCTATGGCCTCAAGATATGCCGTGGCTTTCTGCTGGAACTGAGGTTGGGGGATAAGCAGACCTCAATGTGTTGAGTTCCCGTTCAGTAACATTGGCCCCTTTATATCTAGGCCTGTCATTTTAACTGTTGTTGTTTTACTCAGCATGAACAGAATGCAATGGAAGGACAGAGGCAGAAATGGGGGGGTGCCCTATTCTCTACACGAACAAAACATACATTCACTTCTCAAACACAAAAGAACACACCTGGGATGATGGTACAAATGAATGTCTACAACAAAGATGAGAGTGAAATTAATGCCACATGTTAGGTATGTATGAGCTCCTACTGAAAATTTAGTAGCCAACATAAAGAACCCACAGAAAGCTCACATCCAGGAATAGCTGTCAGAGAAGAGAGACTAAGACTGTAAAAGCTGTAAAGAGAGTTTTCTCACTAAGAAATACAGAACTATTTAACAATTACTTAAAAAATGAAATATGGCAAGATGTTTACTCACATATTGATGTAAATAAAGCATACAGTTCCCATTTAACCAAGTATCGCAAGTATTTTGTAAATATTTTTCCTTTAAAAAATTCTCTAAAAATAAAGTTATCAAATCAGGATGGTTAACAAAAGGGATAAAAGTATCAGAGGCTGTGATTGTTATGTCTGTTAAAGAAAAAGATGTCTATGTCCAGTAAAACGTTGAACTATATAACAAAATATCAAATTACTTATAAGAGAGCAATATCTGAAGCACAAAAAAGTGAAAATGACAGAATTATACCAAGGCCAGTAAACCATACCAAGGCAATATGGAAAATAATAAAAAAGGAATCAGGGAATTATCAAAAAACAAATCAAAACATTTCCTTGAAAAGAGGCTCCATGTTAGTTTCTAATCCACAAGATATATCTCATCAATTTAATGTTTTTTTCGTAGAAAATGTGGATAAGATGTTGAATCAAAATATTGGTTGTAAATTTGGTCATGACACTGTAAATAATAAAATATTAATCTCTAACTCCATGTTTCTTGCTCCAGTTACTGAAGAAGTAGTTTTAAATGTAACCAAGGAACGAAAAAGTAATTTTTCAGCTGGCTGGGACAAAATACCTGAAAGGTTAGTAAAAGAAAGTATTCAGTATATCTAGAAACCACTAACCTTTATACTTAACATTTCATTATGTTCTGGAACTTTTCCAAATTTGATGAAGATTGCAAAAGTTTGGCCTATTCACAAAAAAGGTGGGAAAGAGGAAATCTCCAATTATAGACCAATTTCAATTTTGTCAGTTTTTTCCATAATTCTTGAAATATTGATACATAAAAGAGTACTGACCTTCTTAAACAAACACATCATATCTGAGGTTCAAAATGACTTCAGAGAGAAAATCTAGCAATACAGCAACACAAAATGTCATAGAGGATATCCAGAAAGCATTAGATAATAAGCTGTTAGTTATGGGCATATTTTTAGATTTAACTAAGGCGTTTGATGTAATAAATCATGAATTACTGCTTATCAAATTGGAGTTGTATGGACTTAGAGGGAAAATACACTCATGGATTATTCATATCTTACTGCCAGAACTCAATTTGTGGAAGTACAGCATTTAGATGAAAAGACTTCAAATATAAAGCCGTTTGCTTCATCAGGTAAAGAAATAAAATATGGTGTACCTCAGGACCCCTTCTGTTCTTGTTGTTTATAAACAATTTGCCCCAAACAGTTTAATATTTTCCTTATGGTCATCGTCGTCCTCTCTTACGCCGTCTGAGCCAGTCTCGGCTACCACCATATGATGACAAGATCAGTATTATTATCTTCCATTGCAGAAGGTTAGTTCACGAAATTAAAAAAATACAATCAAGCATTATGTCGGACGAACATACCTACTTATGATGTGTGCATCTAATCAAACATAAGTTTCCTCAGTGTACGCCTGTTAATCTGGAAACCAGTTGTCCGCTGGATATCGGCGACATTTCTCAGAAATTGCAGCTGCGTTGCGGTTGCCAGTTTCCTTGGTGTGCCCTCACCCTAATTGTTGCCATGTTACAAAACATCGTTCATTGCATGGTTGAATAATACTAAATCAAATACTGGATTGTTTCATGTGCCACCGTGTACCTTATATTGCGGTCTTTCCCTTATGCCTTTGTTGCACAAATTTTCTGTGTAATACTGTTCATTTTGTGGCTTTTGTGGCATTTAAATCAGCTACGAATCTTGGTTGCAGGCACTTCTGATAATGCTACAACTGGAAAGGATTAAACAATGTATCAGCCTAACAACTGTTTTAACTTATTGCATTTTGCAACTTACTTGTTCCAGTGCTGCTACCAGCAGCTGGGGGTTTACTTTTGCGGAAGAAGCTAGAGAAGTAGCCAGCTCTCAGAGATTCAATTAGAGTTGATTTTCCCACACCAGAATGACCAAAAAACTTAACATTTATCCTTGTGAGAGGTTGAGAAGTAGGTATCAACTGTTTGATGAACTCCTCGCGGCGTGAACTCTAAAACATTAGAGAAACAAAACAAAATTTAGAATCGTCATAATCACAAATTATCCAAACAATACATAAATGCCGATATTCATTTTTAATCTTAACTCATGAGATAAAATGGCCTGCCATGGGTCATGAAAATTCTTTCCTCCTCAGCCATTTCATAAATAATTGATCTTATATCACTTCACAATAAATCATACATATCAGTTGTCAAGTCATTGCTTCTACTAATTGAAGGGGGTCCAGGTCGCTAGACATTTCTGACAGATTTTGTATTTACTGTATAATTTATGCCTGTACATAACAAACCCACCTCTAAATTTAGGTATAAAATTTTGAATTAGGAAACTGAATACCATACTTTTACCCTCAATTTTGAGCCACAAATATTTAGTTACATACTCATAAATATATGCTATTATGCGCCAGCCATGCTTTATGCCCCAGGAAAATTATTTAATTAATTCCTGGTACTCATTTCTGTCAGAGGCTGAGTCGACCCCAGGGCCATAGTGCGGCTGGAAGGATTAGGTAAATTGAAAAAAATCCAATGACCTCATCAGGATTCAATCCCGCGACCTTCCGGCTTGTAGCATTATACCTCAACCAACTGGGCTGTCTGATGTTAAATTAGCAATAATGAACAGCAATTTGAAAGTATACCAAACATGGGGAAATATAACAATTACTAAGCTGCGTTCAAAATGATGGCTACAGATTTCACCAGAAGGAAAATAAATTGCATTTTTTTTTAAACTATTATGCAGCTGAAAATTTTCTAGCCTCATTTCAATGCATAAAATTATATTTTTAAAGTAATATTTATATATTTCACCCCTCCCTCCAACTTTCAGACACAATTATTTGGATAATAAGGTGCATAAATTATGTGATTAAATACAGTATGCAAGTAAATATAAAATTCAGTAAATAATGAGAAAATATCCCACATAAGAAAATAATATCTGGTGAGTTCCTTTTGGAAATATGTCCGAAGTCTTCAGCTCTGGTAACTGTTCCTCAATGTTATCAAATCTAATTTTTACAGTACTAAGTAGTTTTGTTGCATTTGGAACACATACATTTCGTAGGTTGCTGAGCAAGTCACCAATATCATTGTAACCATGTTTAAGTGCTGTAATCTCTGCTTTGATCCCTTCACTATTTCTCTGATGTATGTTGCAGCCAGCTAGACAAAGACATCTGAAACACAGTACAGATTCCTTAAGTTCTGCATAGTTAGAAGGCAGTCAAAATGTTACTGTAACACTGACTTCAACAACTTCCATTCTTTCTTCCCAATTCTCTCATAAGCACCCTTGTATTCACTACCACTTTTAGCCTTCAAGTAAGACCACATTGCATGTGGTCACACAATTTCTTGTACTTCTCCAGAATTGTATATAATAACTAGTACAAACATGTCAGCACATTATGTTTCACTGTAGCATCAGTATCAATTTTCTAAATTGTAAGAACTATTTGTATTAATTATAGACTTATTCTCAAGATCCCGTCTTCAGAGGTCAAATGTGATATATGTCTGGAAGATACTCTAACATGTTTTTTTTTCTATTGTAGTGGGGTGGGACTAAGTCCCTTGTACTGCAGCCACTTCTGGCCTATTGTACCAGGCCCAGAGGATAGGTGGGGGTGATTGTGGAGCAATTGGTGGAATGAAGATTGGCAGGGGAAAGCGAAGTACTTGGAGAAAACCTGCCCTAGTGCCACTTTGTCCACCACAAAACCCACTTGACTAGACCCGGTATCGAACCCGGGCTGCCATGATGGGAAACCAGCGATTAACTGCTTGAGCTATGGTGCAGCCTACTGTAACATGTTAGTGACTACACATGAGGGTTTGGATTGATAATTGGATGTATTGGTCACTTATGACTCGTAACTGCAAACGATTACAAGTCTCACCAATTTACACTCTCTATAGATCATTACAACTACAACACACACAAAATCTTGTGTTTGGAGCCAAGTTTCTTAAGACTCACGATCACAGATTTAGGTTTTTTTTGGCAACGAACCTTTGCAGTTGTAGTCCTTATGTAACTTCTCTCATGAGAAGATGGGTTTGTCCCCTATGAATAGTCTTGGCTTTGTCAAGTGTACGCATCACAAAAATAGCATAGTGCTCAGTCCGATATAAGTGATAATTTGGGATGAAGCATCTCTCATGTGGTTTGAGATGTGAGTCTAATATATGTAAGCTGAGGTCATAGTGCTGCCTCAAAATGCCATTTGCATTAATGCTATGATTTCAAGCAGCTATATACTCTAGCAGCCATTGTGTTTCATTAATGACTGTAATGGTCAGATATAGACGGTTACATGTTATAGGAATATTTTTTGACTTGACAAAGGCATATGATGTGATAGACCACAATGTATTACTAGATAAATTAAATTACTATGGAATCAGAGGGGTTACTAATTTATGGTTTAAATCTTTTTTATCTCACCGAGTACAATTTGTTGAAATCACCTGAATAAAAATATCATCCAAAATACATATATCACCCTTGAGAAAAACAATACGTGGGGTACCACAGGGGTCAGTTCTGGGACCACTACTGTTTCTTCTGTATATAAATGATCTCCCACTAAATACAAGGTGTGGAAATGGTATTGTTCGCAGACGATATTAATGTACTGGTTATTGATAAAGATAAAGATGTAGCTCAACAGAAAATAAATAAGATCATGAAATAGCTGGAAACATGGTTTCAGGTAAATAACCTTTTAATAAATATTAAAAAAACAGCTGCTATGTCATTCCATCTTAGTAAAAATAGGTTTGTAGTTAGACCGCAGATACTCTATAATAACTTGGAAATTGCTTACTCATCTGAACTGAGATCTAATCAGTACCTTATGGAAAGTTAGTTTAATTTCATTGCTTAAACGCTCACTTTTGAAGAGGGAGTAGATACTAATAAATGTTCTGAAGGATTCAATCATTTCTACGTGTAGTCTCAATGTCATCTTTTTCACATGCTTCCTGTCCACTAATCTTCTCTCTGTTATGAATGGTTTGGTCTTGGGCAGTGCTGTACTTCATAAATTTTTTGTCTCTAACATCTGACACAAGTGCATGTTGAGTTCCTTTTCAACCTTGCTGCTTGACTTATATACTCTGCTATGCAAATTCTGAAATTTAAGTTTCTGCTGACTGGCACACTGGAGATAAGGGTGACATTATTAGACATTGCTTGGTACTAGTACTTAAATATTTATGTGCCTCAGCCAGGTGTAACATGGTATTTGATTTTCTTTGGCAACTACACCATGTTGGACATACTCACAAATGTTTCAAACTGTCCCTGAAGTTGATCTGGTCGATGGCTATGGGCATGGGCATGGGGCATGGTCGAGGCTATTCGAGATAAATAGCCTCAAGGAGAGAGCATTGTGGCATGTAGACCCGGTGCTAGGCAACAGCCCATAAACAGCATCAGAGGAAAGGTGTTTTCTGTGCTGTCCCTTCTGATGTGTTGAAAGCAGGACAGTTAGGGAGAAGCTGAGTTGAGTTCGTTGGTTGGTGAGTGACTGAGATAGTCAGAGAACTCTTGTGGTTCGGTCATTGTGAGCTGTTGCTGTGAGAAGCTGGTAGCCTAGGCTGGGGTTAGTTCAGAAACCCAGACAAAGGGGAACGTCTGCCATTTGAAGCCACTACCAAACAAAGCTGTCACTGTGGACACCAGTGTGTGTGTGTGTGTGTGTGTGATAGTGAATTGTAAAGTGTAGTCATGCATTGTAAAGGCTTCAATAAATCCAGTTACAAATCCAAACCAAATTCATACGAGTAGTCACTCAATCACATAACAATATTAGTGTGAGGCTTTTAAATATGAGAAGATTGGCACATTGCTCCTAAAGCTGTTTAGTTACAAACAGGCATTAAAATACCAATTCAAGTTCCAGTGTTGAGAAAGAAGGCTGAAGAAAGCCTTAAAACTGAACACTGAATTTGCATCTTTGAATGGTTGGCCTCATTGATTCAGAAAACATGCAGAATTTAGCTACTCCCAGTAATTGGGAACTTCACTTCAAATTCATTTGAAAAAATAAAAACAAATGATGCTAGATATGTTCTCATGAAAGAATAACATCTCAGCACAGACTGTGTAATTTTAATCACAACAGCAAAAACATGTAGTGTACATTTCAAAGCCTGTATAATTTGTATATTTATTGTGTTTCCAGCCATTTATTCAGTGTAAAATATCATTTTTAATCTCTCATTCTTCTAAAATTGGTATAATTGATTTTGTAAATATTTTGATGCCTACACTTTTAAGGCATTTTCCTGCTCAAGTTCCTTGTTGCCTTTAAAAATTTCTTAAAAGAGATCTGCTGTATCTAGTTATTGAAATTATTTTATTTTACATTGTTCTTTTTCTTGTGGTCAATAAGTTTTGGGGGAAAGTAAATGAACCGGAGAGCTAGATATATGGTTGTAGTTAGAGGCCCAGTTCACCTAGAAAGCACTGAAATCTACATCTAAACCAGAAACACTAATATGATCCATTTTTTAGTAATGTTTGAGCAAATGGTGCTCCCTTTCTACACGACTTTCAATCACTCTCTATATAAAGACTTACTGAAAAACAATTTGCAGTGTCATTTTGATCACAACTTGCTGTTCTCTGTTCATCACATACACTTCTATTTAACTGTTTGAACAGAAGGAGTTCCTGTTTCTTCCTCAAGTACAACTCAAATAATTGCAAATGCAATCCTGAAACTGGTATTTGTTCAACATGATCATAGTTTTGATAATGTTGGCAGATTCATGTTTCTTTTCTGCCATCTCCATCTGTTAGCTCACAACTCTTAAAGCACCACACGTTTATTCTAATGTCAATATCCTACATAAGGATTCAAGTAGGGACTTGCTTGAAATGAACCTGAAGAGTTAAAGAAAGAAAATGCCAGTTACAAAATGACAGCTGTGAATACCATCCAATATAACTTTATTATGAGCATCTTAACATTATCTGTACCTGACTACTTCCATATGACCATGCCTAGCAGCGAGATGCAGTGGATATAACCCATCTTTATTGGCAATATCTACATTACAGCCAAATGCACAAAGAGTCTGTGCAACTGTCAGAAGTCCTTCACGTGATGCTAAATGGACAGGTGTATTGCCATCCTGCAATTAAAAAGATAGTTATTTTTTTAAAACAAACAAATATTTTAAGTTACATATTTCACAGGTTTCTGAATAACTGTATTTGTCAAACTGAACTGAATATGATATTTTAATCTTTCCTTCTACTACAGAAAATGGCTGACAATCATTTACTATCATATATGCAATAAGGTCATCAACAAAGCCTATAAGGCTTTTTGGACATGCAGAAGCATGTTTGGTAAAACTTCGGGACTGCAGCTGCACGTTGTGCATTGGATATAGTACACTGTGGTTGTAAGACCCATAATTACATATGGCGCTACAGTATGGTGGCCCAGAGTTAAACTAAAGACAAGCAAGGCAGCACTTAACAAATTGCCAAGCTTGGCTTGCTTGAGTATCACAGGAGCAATTCGAACATCTCCAACAGCTGCACTGGAGACACTCCTTGGACTCCCCCTGTTGCACCTACAGTTGGAGGCAGAGGCCAGGGCAGGAATCTACCATCTCCAATGCAGTGATCAATGGAAACCTAGATCCGATAGTTTTGGACATGCATACATAACTCAGGACATGGGAAAAGAACCCATATTACAAATTGGGTCTGACAAAATGATACTGAGACATGTATATGGAAAACCTTTCACGGTCAGATTTCCTGACAGGAGTGAATGGGAAGATGGGTATTGGCCCGATAGAAAAAGGGGTCTGATCTCATATACAGATGGTTCCAAGATAAATAAGGCCACTGGAGCTGGTGTGTACTGCTATGGCATGAGGTGGAAACTTAGTTTCAGCCTTGGGCAGTACATGACAGTGTTCCAGGCAGAAGTATATGCCATTAAGGCATGTATTATGGAGAATCTAGATAGGAACTAGAGAAATAGGAACATCTACATTCTATCTGACAGCCAGGCTGCACTTAAAGCGCTTGACAAACACCAGATCAATTCAAAATTGGTCTGGGATTGCCACCAAACCCTCATGGAACTGGCAAAATATAACAGGGTACAACTGATATGGGTGCCGGGGCATGAGGGTATTGCTGGAAACGAAACAGCAGATCAATTGGCTAAGATTGGAGCTGAACATCCATTCACAGGACCTGAACCAGCCTGTGGCATCTCTATAGGAGTTGCCAGAAAGGCAATCAGGGACTGGACAAATATGAAGCACAAGAAATATTGGGGATCCTTGACTGGACTCAGGCAAGCAACACAAAGTAACTTACACTGATGCTGGGAGTATAAAAAACTTTCTAACAAATTGGCTTACATCAACTTTGGTAGTAAATATGGTGTACGGGTCTGATTATTTCATTCCATGGGCTGACGGAGCAATTACAATTAAGATGTACTTCAGTAGAATTCATGTCTCTGCCCTCAAAGTTCACACTAAGATTAGTTGGTAAATTACCTTGTCTTGTACATCTATATCTGCACCAGAGTGTAGGAGGAACATGGAACATTGGACCTGTCTATTATATAAAGCACTAAGAAGAGGAGTAGATTCATAATAATTTGTCATGTCCAGACAGGCCCCACACTCCACAAGACAGCGTACACACTCCAAGTGACCCTGAGAACTGGCATGATGGAGTGCAGTGTTTCCAGTCTACACAAAAACAAATATTACAAACAGAATTTAATTTCATTAATTTTATTGACTGAACATTTAACTGACACTGTGGCAGCACAAGAACACTACAGACCAATCATTACACTTATCCAAGATAAAACAGTAAACAGGACTATAAGCAAATAAACAGAACCCTTAACTGAATTCTTAATGTCTCTTAAAATATAACATTATGACTTTTTTATTTGACTGGATGTCTCTTATCATTGATGGGCTTCAAAACCAACATAATTTTACCTAACAAAATTTTATACTAGCATTGTAATGCATATGTATTCCACCACCATTCATGTATTTCTCAAGACTCACCTGATGATGGAATTTTGGGGCTGAAACATATTATGAGTTGATTAATAAAACTATTTGTGGTAATCCCCCAATTTTATCTGTAAGCACCACAAGCAGGATGCAACACTAGATGACTATTAAAATGTGATGAACATCGTCTTCAGTATCCAAATCAAAGATCTTATAGAAATTGTGTCAACTGTAGAGTATGGTTTAAAAGTATCGTTGTGGGTCTAAACTTCAATAAATACAACTACTCGTATGTTAAATTTTACCAGTATCTTTTCAAATACAAATCATCTCTAAATCCCAAGTCTACCATCCAAGTAAAATTTAGAATTCCATGTAGAGGAAAAAATGAACTATCATTAACAAATTTTAACATGTATTACCACTATTACTTTCAGAAAAAATCATTAAAAGTTCTTCAAGAAAAACTAAGAAATTACTGTGTATCAGTATTTAACCCTATAATTCTACTGTCCACATGAAAGTGAAAACAGCTCTCTTACTGATGGGGGCTAATGATCATTTTGTGGATTTTAGCAGAACTTTCAGTATCAACATCATAGTGCCAGACGGTAAGATGAATGATGAATCTGAAAGGATCTGGAAGGAAGTGTTCATGGCCTAACTGAGGTATCAGCTTTACATTTGCCTGGAGAGACTGAGGAAAACATGAAAATCTTCAATCAGAACAGATTGTTGACTTTGTGTGTGTAAAATTATAAATATTTCCACAAATTTTGTATTAAATTATACATAAAAATATACCTAGTGACAGTGCAAATCTTGAATATGATGTTTATAAATAGACAGATGTCTGGTGAAAGACAAAAAGGCTGATCTAGACTTGTAATTGGTAGGTGCTTGGTTCGAATATCTGCTGAGGCACTGTCTATCCTGAATGAGGTTTTTGTGGTTTGCCTCAGTCCCTCCTGGCAAATGCTTGGATAGTACCTCAATTAGACCATGACCACTTCACTCAAAATACTTTCCAATTCATTAATCAATCCATCATCTGACACCAAATAAACTCAACAGTGAAAGTGTTGTTAAATAACCTACAAAAAGAAAAATAAGTTGATGTAACATATTAGGCCTAACCTTTCATTATGTTCAAGTAGAGAGCACTCAACTATCAGTATTGTCTACAATGCATTTATTTGTTTCTAATTCATACTGCTAATGTAAAACAAAGCATTCACAATAGTAATTCTTTTTACCTGTAGTGTTTCAGTCCAATTCCTTTCCGTTACAAACACAACTGTGCTGTTGTAATGCTGTTCACGTTATGAGGAGTTCTGAATTTCTTTAAATAACACAGAGACTAAACAATGTTTCATACACAAGCTACAGTTCACATTGTCTGTATTTCAACTTATGTACAAAGCGATGGTAAAATGAGGTGCTATAGAAAAATGAAGATTGATTTGGGCCTCATGTAAAGTAAAGTAAAGTTCATGCATGTTGGGCATGTTCTGAAATTCAAGCAATGAACACAGCCCACAAAAAAACATCTTGCTTGTACAGGCATGTGGATGTTACTTTTGTAATCTAACCACATGGAATAGGAGGATTACAGAAGTTTCATCAGCAGCTTAACAACATATATATAGAAATGATGTTCACAATGGAAATAGAATGTTTGGCGATCTAAAAACGATGTGGTTCATTGGGATATTCAGTATATAGAAAGTCCACTAATTCAGACCCCCTCTTCCATGCAAAATCATACCATGATACATCGTAAAAACATGCATTGCTGTTAACATTAATTGACCATGGAAGACAAGTATGTGAAACGGGATGTTTGAGTGAAGAATTCTGACATTTAAGAACATTCACACAGAATGGGTACAAAGCCGCAGCCTTCAGCATAGCTATGAATAAAAACCATAAAAAAGAACAGAGAAATAGAGACTAATTGGAATAGTCTCTTTGCTGTTTCAGCAGTCAACATCATACACAATCAGCAGGATGCTGGGAAAATTTAATATAAAGACAGTCCACATCCCTGCTGGGAACAGTTCTCACAAACTAAGATCAGTGTAAAATGTCTCAGGACTAAAAGTCTCAAGGGTCTGTACTATTCCATTCAAATGCTGAGAAGTATATATAAGAGAGTCAGGTAAATACATTGAAGCAAGGTGCAAAGAACATGAACATCTATGTTTTATCAACTAGACAAACACACAGTGGTGGAAAAGAGCAATATTCAGGCCACCGGATAAAGTTACAAGAGACCAAAGCATAGAGTCTCAAAGAAACTAAAGTGAAAAAATGCTAGATGACTCAAGAGTGAGTAAAAAGATTGTGGGAACATCCCACATTATCACGCATTTCTGCAACGCTCGCTCTTCACATCGCTTTTCACCATCACGCGCGCTAACCAACCAGATTGCTTCAAACGTTCATATTTATACTGGGATCGCTCCTGACCCGCATCTACGTCATAACGCGCGCTAGCCAATCAATTCTTCCTCCTCACTTTCGAGTTTGGCTCCGCCCCACCGACCAGCGTATAAAAAAGGAGCGACTCCAGAGTCGAGTTATGCAGTTCCATTCAGTTCATCATCAGTCTACGAGCTAGCCGCATCAAGCAACTTCAGCCAGCAGGCTTCGTCGCCAGCGCTCGGTCTTCGGAGGCATCGGCAGGCTGCGCCGGGCACGGCTGCCTCGGCCCTCCAGCGCTCTCACACCCGACTCACTGGGGCACAGCGCCTGGACTCGCCGGTGGTCGTGTTACGGTCCGACTCACTGGACCTCTGGCGTAGCCACTGCCTCACGACTCCTACGACCGCGCTCAACGACTAGCCTTTCCACTAGCCTTTCGCCAAGCCTTTCACCGCAACCAGCCTTTCCACTAGCCTTTCACCGCAGCAAGCCTTTCTCCTTACCGGCGCGCGCCGCGCTACCTCACCGGTCAATCATCTCAGCAACCACGGTCCTTTTCAGGGCCAACAAATTGTTCTGAAGAAGTGGGTTGTCATAGGAGTAATGACAAAGACACACGTTAAGTAAGAACCCCACAAGATATTCATTGTCTATGAAAAAATTAAAAAATATACATTTATTACTAAAACATCAGGGTGAAACTGACATATAATGGTGGGTGGCTGATACACAAGAACAAAGTACAAGGATTTGGAGTATGAAGAAAATCTGTGGCAAGACCTGATGCAGAAATAATAACAGTGAAGAATACTGCACACCTTATTCCATGCAGTTCATGTAGTACAATATTATGAATTTCTTTTTCATACTCATATTTGTAGTTACGTGTTTCAGTTTGCTAAGGCCTTAAATAATAAATACAAGCAAGTTATGTAACTATACACAATAAGGTGCTTCACGCTGGTATTTAATATTTAAGATGATGATGGTGCATTTCACAGCACTGAAACAGGCAGCCAAAAAAAATATTATTTCAATGTTAACAAATGTTGTGTTGACTGTGAAAAAGTAATACTACTCTACATCTTGTTTCCCCCAGGTCAGTTGCAGCTACTGGATGTCATAAGTCACAGTCGTATGCAGGAAGAATAGCAATTATTAACTTGAAATATAGGCTGCCCATAGCGGTTAGTCACTGGCTTCTCACTGTGGCGGCCGGGGTTCGATCCCGGGTCTGGACAAGTGGGATTTGTGGTGGACTTAGTGGCACTGGGGCAGGTTTTCTCCATGTACTTCGGTTTCCCCTGCCAATCTCATTCCACCAATTGCTCCACAATCACCCTCACCTATCATCTGGGGCTGCAACAATAGGCCAGAAGTGTCCGCAGAACAAGGGACTTAGTCCCACCCCACTAGCAATAAAAAAAACTTGAAATATATATTTAAATTAATGTTCTTTAAATCAGTCAAAAGAGCTTCTACAATACCAACATCATTATATTAAAATATTTCTAAAAGGTCTGTTGCCTTCTGAGACAGATCCTTATGCTGTAAAATTCATACTATATTAGCAGAAATTTCATAAAAAATTTGAAAATTTGGTTGTATCACCTTATCTTGGACTCCCACTACCATTCCAGCTTGGAGAAGAAATCGTACAATGTCCAAATGACCATGTTTAGCAGCACATATAAGTGGGGTATCTCCATGTTCATCTACATTCTGGAGATTAGCACCATGCTTCTGAAGTAGTGTTAAAACTGCTAACTGCCCATGCTCAGCTGCAATATGTGCCGCTGTTTCACCATGCTGCAAATAAGTATTAAATAATGTAAACCAAACACTTGAACATCATCTGAACTTGAAAATTTAATAACACTGTCATTGTTTGCATAGTCTCATACACAATATAAATTGTTAAAATTATTTTGTATGTATAATACTGACTGAAAAATTAGAATAAGATATTTTATGCACAGGAAAAGTGTTTCTTAAAAATGAAAACAAAATTAGAGCAGTGGACGCATTTCTAACATAAAAACAACAAAACTTGAATATATTGAAGTCTTGTAAGATTTGAGGCTTTCACGGCGGTGACTATGAAGAAAGCAGTCTTCTGGGATTTGGCACCGTGTATATGTGGTGTTAACCGACGTTTCGGAGGAACGTATCGCCTCCATCTTCAGGGTAGAAGGAAAAATATAAGAAATCTGCAAGCGAAGAGACCGTGAGAACCGGTAAAAGCAGACTGGTGTTGGAAATATACACAGCTATGTGAGAGCAGAGAAGGAAGGGGGGAAGGGCAAGTATACAAGTGAAACCTGGAGTGTGGGAAGGGGGGTGGGGAAAGGAGCTGGGACAAGCATGGTTTTTGTGTTGGGGGAGAGAAAGGCAAGGTTAAAGGCTGGACACTAACCCGTAAGCTGAGGAGGAGGGGTTGTTATGTTAGTTGGTCATGGCCTGTGTGGCCTTCTGGATCTGGCGTCATATCCCGGTGGGGGTTTTTAAGAGAACAGATGAGAGGCTTCCAAGATTTGCTGAGACAAAACCCCCCCTCTCTGTTCATATTGTCTGGATGCAGTTCAATCTCAATTGCCTCCCTAATGATGCGATCCATATAGTGGGTCTTGGTGGCGAGGATGGAGGTATTCTGAAGCTAAATGCAGTGTCCCAGATCGATGCTGTGTTCAGCTATGGCTGACTTGTCCAGTTGTTTGAGACGGATGTGCCGCTGATGCTCCTTCAACCTCATGTTCACGGAGCGACCTGTCTGCCCAATATAGACCTTCCCGCACTCGCATGGGATACTGTATACACCCGGTGTCCTTAGGCCCAGGCTGTCTTTAACCGGCCGGAGGAAATTGGATAATTTGTTTGGAGACAGACCCACTGCTTTGATGTTGTGCCGGGACAGCACTCTGCTGATACGGTTGAATATGGTCCCGACATAGGGAAGGAAGGCGACTGAGCCGGTTTGTCTTCAGGCCGGCTGATGTTGGGCCGATGGTTGAGAACTCTGTGGATCTGCCGGTTGTTGTATCCGTTCTTCTTGAATACATCCTTCAGGAGCACGAACTCCACATGTAGGCTGTCTTGATCACACAGTGCTCTAGCCCTGTGCATCAATGTGGAAAGTGCAGCTTGCTTGTTGGAAGGGTGGTGGTGGGATGCAGCGTTAAGGTACAGGTTAGTATGTGTGGATTTGTGGTACACTCTATGGCCCAGAGAACCGTCGGGTCTCCTGTAAATATCTATATCCAGGAAGGGGAGGTGGCCTTCAGTTTCAGTTTCCATTGTGAACTGGATGCACTGCTGGATACTATTTAGGTGGTTCAGGAAGTCCTTGAGCTTGTCGGGACCGTGTGGCCAGATGATGAAAGTGTCATCCACGTAGCGAAACCAGCAGCGGGGCTTGTGTGGGGCCAAGTCAAGTGCCCTCTCCTCAAAGTCCTCCATATAGAGGTTAGAGATGACCGGAGAAAGTGGTGAGCCCATCGCCACACCATCGGTTTGTTCATAGAACTGGCCATTGAAGTTGAAGTCACTCAAGAGACTCTTCCACCATATCCTGACCACCTCATACTTCAACTTCCCTCCTCAGAGCATCATGGTCCCAGATATCTGTAGTGTCTTTCAGCTGCCTGATTGCCATTCTACATTCTGGCAGTGACTGAAGACCTCATGGTACATTCTTCTAGAAAGGGTATCTCCACTGCTGTGCTCACAACCTTAGCAATTTTAAGCCCTCCTGGCAGGTATCTTCTGTTGATGTTGACCCCACATCCTAAGCCTGTTCCCTCCTCAGTGGGTTGGCTTTGAATATGACACACTAGGCCTCAATTTTACGTTTGTTTTAGGCATCCCCTTAAATATATAAAATCGATATTTTAGTGCATTGCACCTTAACTTCTGTACTCATAAGACAATATACCTCATGGATTCCTAATTATATCCAATGTATAATTCACTAACTGCATGAGTAGGCCTAATAATTCTAAGCACCTGTCTTACATAAACTCAAAAAATATCAAGTGAATATACTCATGTTCTGAGACACTGCCTGAGTCATGTCCATGGAGTAGTCTAATTCCATGGGCTTCATATATATTTTGTAACATTATTTCTTACACCATAAGGTTGTTAATTTCAAGTCAAATCTACAAATTAAAAACACATTTTATACCAGTTTGTAAGTGCTTACTTAACTTCTGGGCAGCTAGCTTCCATTATGGAGACTGTTTCATCAATCCACAATCTGAGGGAACATAATTTTGTGGTGACAGGGGATCTACACAATATGCATACATACATTAATGAAGACAGTCTATGGTACCATCATTTCTCCCAGAATAAACCACACTTTGACAGAGTGCTTTGAATTAAAGGAAGAAAGAAGCAAATTTGGTCCTTTCACCACATAAAGGGACACACATATATGTGTATACAAAGGTAAAGCTGTCACTGTAACAGGCTGTGGAGGCCCATAGGGTTGTGAGACTTTGAGGCTCCCACATTTTCTTGACAATCAGCTCACAGATGGCAGTGAGTGGCTGGCTTTTCGACCACAAAGATTCCTGGTACTCATTTCTGTTAGAGGCTAACTTGACCTCAGGTCCGCAGTGTGGCAGGATGGTTTAAATCAATTTAAAAATAATGATCTCATCAGGAATCGAACCCAGCCCTTCTGGCTTGTGGCACAGTGTCTCTGCCAACTACACCATGTACTACCATGTACGCCACCAACACATATAAATATATATATATCAATTTAAAATGCAAAATTCATTAAATTTTGAGGAATAAAATGATGAGGATATTTAAAATACAGTTTGTGCATACAAAGGAAGTGCATTGGAATTTTAATACAAAATGTGATCCTCAGCCAGTTTTAATATTGTAACGTGCCTTGTTACTGAAGACGCCGTTCAGATTGTTAATTGTTTTATTTAATAACTTACAAGTAACGGCTACAATTAATTATAACAATGTTGCAGGGTTTCACAATTTATAACCCTATTCGCAAATCAAATCACTCTATTTTCAGTAGTCTACACGTTTTCACAGTACGGGAGCTATATAAGTGTCACTGTGTTACACACTCCCAATTAATTCTCAGTTATCACAAACTGTCGCTGATTATCACACTTTTACTCATTCACTGCTGACTGGAGAACTGTCTTCGGCCGCTGATACACTTTAACTCTCTCCGGGGATGGCTACAAGTTAACTCGCTTCGTAGGCAGTGTGGTTCACTTATATAGTCACAGCGCCCGCCTGTTATGCAATCGGCACCGCCGTTGGCTGTTACCCGTGTCACAGCTGCGTTGCGTGTTACGTCACCGTGTGGAGGGGGATGACGGAGCGCTGACTCACCTGCCACGTCACTGCTGGGTAGGGAGGGGTTGTCCTCCATTGCCCAACATGTCACAATATTATCCTCCTATGCATTTCTCATTTCCCTCACGAAGGAGTTTTCTTCAAAAAAATATGTTTATAGACATTTCCAGTTCTATACATCAAAGCTATGTCTGCAGCCCATCTCAGTCTTCATATTTAATGCAATGACATTTAATTTGGTTCCTTGTCATCAGTAATAATAATTTTATTCTGAAACAAATCAGGCTTTATAAATAAAGTATGAATAAAGACAATTACAGGTAAGATCTAGCCCTCTCTGCGCCTGATTTCATCCCCCTAAAGATTTAATTGAAACTGAAAGGAAGAGAAAGTTCCTTGCAGAATGGGTGTCAGGATAGCATCAAGACATTTAGTCTTACAATTATGCTTCCAGTGTATCCACAAAGATCAGAAGAAATGTACATGAAGAAACCTCGATTTCTAATCCAAATTACACCCGAAAATTACAATCTCATTGCTGGTATCCCCAGAAAAAACATTTAATATGTTATAAAATTTGAGGTTTGCAATTAATACTAAAGCTGCTGTATCATCATGTTAACTGGTAGATTGTTGCCAGTGTTTTGAAGGAACTTGCTACCTCCATTTTCAGCAATGCAGAAGGTATCTTAATTATAAGTCAGCACAACCTGACACAGCTTGCAATCATTAATTCCTAATTGTGCCAGTCATACAAGAAACTATCTGTAGATTTCTCAGGCTATCATCCATTTGCAGTAACTTTACATAAGGAGACCAGCTATTATAAAAAAACAACTATTTTTACAGCAGAAAACGGCTAACAATAACAATTACCTATGCGGTCTACTAAATAAAGAGACCTGGGAGCTCGTCTTTAAGCAAAAATCAGCGAATGATGCATATAATGAGTTCCTAGGTACTTTCCAATATTACTATGAATTAGCAATGCCTAAAAAATGGTTAAAGAGCAAACAGTATGCAAATAGATGGGTGACCCTAGGTATAAGGACATCAGGGAATAGACTCAGATTTCTTAACAGGCTAATGAAGGAAGGAAATGTTTCAGAAGAATTTAGGAAGTACTACGGTCAGTACAAGAAAATATACAACAAAGTTATCAGTGAAGCAAAAAAATCATCTAATAACATGCGATTAAGAACAGCTGTCAACAAATCGGGGGTAATGTGGGACTTAATCAGGGAGGAGCTAGGTAACCAGAAAAAATTAAAGAAAAATTTTGAAATAAACACAGGCGGAGTAAATACGCAAGACCCTAAAGTAATAGCTAATGTCTTCAACGAATACTATACTAGCATCGCACAAAAAATTTTAGGAGGGACCTCCTCAGTAAAAA